CTACCACCTGTACCTGTTGCTCCTAGTTCTGTTCTGTGGGGCCAAGCAGAAAAAGTCTCATCCCTCTGCCCTGAGAGCACTCCTCAGGGTGGTCAGGGAACCAGGAGAGCCTGGGCTCCACTTCTGCCCCAGACACTCAGCAGGAGGCAGCTGTCCTGTCCCTAGAGACTTCAGCCTTAAGCAGACAATCCAGCAAATAGAAATTCTATGTTTCGTTAGCTGCCATAGGAGAATCTGTTGAATTGGTGATGCAGGGGTTAGAGTCCTGGGCTTGGAGTTGGGAAGACCTGAGTTCAAATCTGACCCCAGACACTTAGTACCTGTGTGATTCTGGTTGCCTCAGTTTCCTCGTCTGTAAAATGGGATTAATAATAGCACCTACCTCCCAGGGTGGTTACGAGGATCAAATGAGATCATAACTGTAAGGTGTTTCGAACAGTGCCCGGCACACAGAAGGTGCTATATAAATGTTAGCTATTATTAGCATTATTACTGGAGCATGCACCATGCCATAGTCAATGCTAAGTTATTTCCAAGGGCTGGGGGAGAGCCCTAGGCCCGTCCCCCAAGCTGAGCCTTCCGTGAGGAGGGAGGGCATTCCAGGCAGGCGATGGGCTGTCCTATTCGGAACAGAGGCCAGTTTGGCGGGATTTCAGTTTAGTTCGATCAGCCTTTATTAAGCACCTACCACTTGCATTGGTACAGTCCCTGGCTGGAGGAGCTCACACGCTGCTGGAGAAGGTTACAACACGTTCAGACATACAAGCCCACGAGAAGAGGAATGCAGAGTCATTTAGAGACAGAGTGCCTGGGAAGGGCCTCGGTCGGAGGGGCCCCTGAGCACCTGAGCTGGGCCGGCTCTGTCCAGAGCCCAGGATCCTAAGAAGTAGAGGCTATGCCTGCCCATCTTGGAAAGTGGACTGTGACGTCAAAGGCACCGACTGTGAGGGGTTCTAAGCGCCAAGCTGAGGCATTCATATTTTACTCAGGAAGAACGAGGGAGCCATCCCTGGGGCAGCCACCAGCGTGCTGAGAGCCGGTGGTCCTGGGAGTGGAGGAAGGGCTAAAACAGGAGACAAGCCTCGGCATCTGGGCTGAGGGGAGAAGGTGCAGATGACAGCGTGGCGGTCGGGAGGGAAGAAATGTGGTGGTGCCTTCAGCAGAAGGAAAGACGTTAAGAAAGTGGGGGAAGGAAAGAGTGCCATGGACTTGCTGAGCGTGCGCTGAATGGGCGCACCAGGGCCGCCGTCCGGCGAGGAGCTCTGGAGAGAGCCGAGGGCTGGGCTGGCGGAGAGGGTCACCTCAGCCTCCGGGTGATGACTGAGCCATGGAGGAGGTCGGCAAGAGCGTCTGGAGCAAACATTCTCAACACGGGGACTGTGAACTTGGGTTTTTAAAAGGACATTTGGAGGACGGTTTCATTATAATTGGTTTCCTTTGTAACCGTGTATTTTTAGTTTATGCATTTGAAAACACGATTGTGAGGAGTCCATCGGCTTCACCAGCCTGCCAGAGGCACAAGGAGAGGGTCCAGGGGAGGGGCCTGGGCCTAGCCAGTGGTGCCGATGATGCTGCTGAGGGGGTTGTGGGGGGCTCAGCCGGAGAACTAGGAAAGGACAGCCATGGATACCTAAGGAAGAGACGTCACTGGGAACCTTGGAGCCATCGGTGTCCCTTGAGAAGTGGGATTGAAGTTAGCCTTGCAAAGGGTTGAGAGCGAGTGGGAGGTAGGGTAGTAGAGGCAAGGAGACAGAAGACAGCTTTTCTGTTTAGCTGTGAGACACGAGGAGAGATGTGGACAATAGCTTGGGGGTTGGGGAGACCTGGACACGTTTGTAGGCAACAGGGAAGGAGGGGAGAGGGCTTGGGAAGAAGGGCCACCTTTTCCTCAGCAAATGGAGGAAAGAAGAGAATGGGGATGGGGCCGTAGAGGGGCTTGGGGAGAAGAGGGAGCGCATCACGATGGGCGACGTCTCTCTTCTCAGTCACGTATGGGGTGACAGGTGAGGTCGAAGGCTTGAGAAGGGTTTGACCACAGCCAGCGTGGGGGGGGGGGCCTGGGAGATTCACGAACTGGTGGCCCGTCAGCCTGGTTGTTGGCAGACAGTCCTTGGCTACGTGTGAGAAGGAGCAGAGAAGGTGGGTGGTGGGCAAACTCAGGATTGGGATTTGGGAAGCTGCTCAAATACAGAGACTGCCTTTTCTTTTTCTTTGTATCCCTGTTACTGAGCACAGTGCCTGGCACACAGTAGGTGCTTAATAAATGCTTATTGGCTGATGAGAAGGATACATCAGGCAAAAGATTTAAAGGTACAGGACAGTGTCCAGGTGAACCAATGAACTTTAGATGTGGTCAAGATTGTGAAGGGAAGAAGGGGTGACTGATGGTCGAGGAAGTTGGAGGAACTGTTGTTCATGCTGAGGAACAGGTTTGGGAGGAGTGAGGTAGCAGGAAGGATGCAAAGAGGGGAAGCCACGAGGGGGAGGCATTTCAGAGTCCTAGACTACCAGAGGTTACAGATCTAGAACTACAAAGACCCGTAGAGGCCATTGGCCCCAGTGCCTCATTTTACACTGGAGGAAGCCAGGGTGTAGAAAGGTACGGTGACTGTGAGATGAAGGGGGAGGGCACGCCCCTTCTCCTGGCTGGCTGGGCTGGGACGCCAGGAGGGTATTGGAGGGGACATCACCAAGAGTAGGGCAGGGGGACAGAAGCATGGGAGGCAGATGCTGAAGAGCCCTTGAGAAAGGAAAGGAGATGACTGCCTGCCTCAGCACTGGGAGAGGGTGATGTCCCTGGACAGGACGTATCCTTGTTTCCTAGCTGTACCACTCAGGAGAGTTACCCCGTCTGCTGGGCTCAGACTGCCGGTGTTAAAATAATAAGAGAGCCTTACTAATAAAAAACAACATATTGTATCCCACACAGGTGTGGAAGACCTGCCCATCTTACGTTGCACTTGCTAGGGAGAGGCAGTCTCCTGCCTCAGACGCTTCCAAGCTGATAGAACAAGCCTTTATTAAGGCCCTCTGTATAGGGAATACAAAGACAAAAATGGAGACTAGGTCCTGCCCTCCCAGAGCTTACACTCTCTTTGACAACATGCCAATACATAAGTATATTCAGGCCCATTTAAGGAGGAGGAAGGGAGCACTGACAGCCTGGGTTCGAATCCTACAGCAGACACTTGTTAAACCTCTGTGTGCCTCAGTTTCCTCATCTGTGAAATGGAAGCACAATAGTCCCTGTCTCCCAGGACTCTTTTGTGGGGCCCAGTGAGACAATGCAGCTGAAGGAATCTGCAGAATGTCGGGGTCAGGAAGGGAGCTAAGCCTGGAAGGAAGCCGGGGACTGGACAGGAGAGAGCATTCCAGGCAGGCAAGGAGGCACGGAGCTGGAAAATGGAAGGCTAAAAGGCCAGTCTGCCTGGAAAGGCAGGCTGAAGCCAGCTGCTTGATCCTGGCACTAATAGGGAGCCATGGAAGCTTCCTGAACAACGGAGTGAAGATGGTTTTGGCAGCTGGGTGTAGGATGCACTGGAGAGGGGACAAAGTGGAGGCAGGGAAACTGAGGAAGAGGCTGTTGTGATACTGATGGTGCGGGGCCTGAACTGCCGTGGCAATCTCTGGAGGCCGGCTGAATGATCGTTGGCAGGTCCCTCGACCACTCTGACCCTCCCTTTCCTTCTCTGTAAAATGGAAATGGCCCCCTATAGGGTGTCCTGAGGCTCATGGGTGAACACATTTCAAGGCTGGATAAAGACTGCCCTCCTCTCCCAGGAGCCTGCCACAAAGGAGACACCCTGCCCACAGCTGCTGCCGTCCTGACCTGGAGGGGACCCTGGGCTTCTCCCTAGGGGAGGGCAGGCTCAGCCAGGCCTGACTGGCCAAGTGGCCTGTATGCATCTCACTTTCAGGGACAAGCCTAGCTCAGGGCTCCGAGGCTGCTGGGCACCAGAGGGCCGGTTGCCAGGGATGCCCAGCTGACCGTGCACCAAGGGGTGGCAGGGGCCTCATCCCTCTATGGCCCAGAGACCTCTGGGAGCAGGTCAGTGTAGGAGGGAATTGGCTGGTTCCCCCATAGGTTCCTGAGAGAAAAACTGTGCCTAGGGGACAGCTAGGTGACACAGTGGACAGAGCATCAGCCCTGGAGTCAGGAGGATCTGAGTTCAAATCCGGCCTCAGACACTCAACACTTACTAGCTGTGTGACCCTGAGCAAGTCACTTAACCCCTATTGCCTCACCAAAAAGCAAAAAAAAAAAAAAAAGAAAAAAAGAAACTGTGCCTATTAACAGATGCTTCCAGGAGCTAGGATGCTGGAAATTGTTCATGGTCAAAACCCTCTGGGTCTTAGTTTCCTCATAGTAACAGCTGAGCTGTAATGAGGACCAAATGAGATCATAGCTGTCTGAGCATCAAAATGATCTCGTAGGTGCCTATTAAGTGCCTGTTCTGAGCTAGGTGCACACAGTAGGTGCTTAATAAAGTAAATCATCATCATGATAGTTAGTGGTCAGCCCTCCATATTTGTACATATGTCACCTCCTGTGATCTCCACAGCAGCTGCAGCGGGGGATGGATTGGAAGGCTTTCGTGTGAAGATATTAATTATTATCAGCACTTTACAGATGAGAAAACTGAGGCCTAGAGAAATCTGGGTCACACGTGTGTGTGAGTCAGGATTTGAACTCAGGGCTTCCTGACTCCAAGTCCAGCACCTTGACCAGTTTGCCTCCATCTGCCCAGTGAACGGCCTCCTTCCCTTCCTTGGAGGCCCACCGCAGGGGCCACAGCCGCTGCTCCCCTTCTCCAAACGACCCAGGATTTACTTCTCTGTTTACCAGAAAAGACAATGAGTTCTCTAAGGATTTTTCCTCTCCCATCCTTGTCTCCCAGAGCCAGGCACACAGTAGGTGCTTAATAAGTGGTGGCTTGCCCTCCTCAGCCTGGCAGCTCTCTGAAGACAGGCCCCTCAGACCGAAGGAACAAAGCCAGAGATAAGAGAAGGAGGATTTTTCTCACAGCAGCACGTTTGTGTAATCGATCCCTGAGGGTCACAGTCTGGCTCTTCTCCCCACCCCCTCCACCGCTGTCCGGAAGGCACAGTCCATGGGTCTGCGGGGTCCCCACTGGGGCAGGTGCTCAGAATTGGCTTTGCCCCGAGCCAGGACAAGGAGCCTGTTGTCCAGGGGCTAGAGGAGGCCCAGGTACTCAGCCAGGAAGATGGTAAGGATGCGACTGAGGTTGTGCACTGTGGGTGGATGCAGGTTGGTCTCAGTGTCAGCTGCGGTGTGCCAGACGGCAGGGAAGGGTGTGGGGATGAGGTGCAGAATGGGCACGCCTGGAGAGGGAAAGACAGCAGAGGGTTGTGAGACAGGAGACAGGAGGGGCCATCCAGGCACGGCCCCAGGCACAGTCAGGCCGGGCCCAGCGACAAGCCGCTGTTTGGCTCTCCAGCCTCCAAGCCAGGCCGGGTCGGGGATCCGGGGACCCAGGGACCCATCCCTACCTCTTCGCAGGAAGGGGGTGTGGTCGTCATCCACGGCCCCATAGGGTGGTCCTGGCTGGAAATACGTCACCTCCCGAGGATGGGATGCCAGAAGCCCCAGCCGGTGAAGCCGCTTCTCTGCAGCAGCAGAGAGGAGGAGGAGGGGGTCAGAGAGGCCCCCCTCAGGGTGGGGCTGCTCCCCTCCTCCCTTGCCCCCCATTACCTATCGAGCTAAGCCGCTGGAACCAGGGGGCTGTGTGGCGGAAGTGACTCTTAATGATGGGGTCACGGGCTCCCAGCAGGTCCAGGAGGACAAACATTTCCTGGGACAGACAGAGAGACAGACAGACAGAAGAAGCATGAGCTGCCCTGCCGATGGCCAGACTGGTCAGGAAGGGCCTTGGTCCTCCCCTGTGTCTGTACACAGAGACAGAGCCTCTGATTTTCTGCTACAACTCAGTGGTCCTGCCGCATCTGTGCCCACACGGCCTGCAGAACAAAGGGAGACGAATGCCTTGCTGGTGGTCCTGTCACTGCTGCAGGTTCTGGCCTTGGGCCTCACAGGGAGCTGGCGGGAAGGCTGGGGCCCAGGATTGGGGATCTCTGCCACGGATGACCCCAGGATGCCAGCCGGGGCTGGAGGGTAGGGAGGGGAAGCTGAGGCCCAGGTCCACCTAGGCCAAATGGGGCGGCTACCTCTGGACCCAGCAGCCAAGCTCTCCCTGATGCTACATGCCTCTGGCCTTAGAAGCATAAGGCTTCTCATGGAGTCCTCTCCAGCAATGATCTCCCAGGGCAGCTAGGTGGCCCAGTGGATAGACTGCTGAGCCAGAAGTCAAGAAGACCTGAGTTCAAATCTAGCTTCAGACACTTAGCAGCTGTGTGACCCTGGGTAAGATACAACTCCAGGTTGCCTCAGTTTCCTCAACTGTAAAATAGGGATAATAATAGCACCTACCTCTCAGGGTTGTTGTGAGGAACAAATGAGATCATATTTGTAAACACTCAGCATGGTGCTTGGCACACAACTGGTGCTTAATAAATGCTTATTACCATCCGTACCCAGAAAACCTGCCCACCCACCCGCAGGAAAAGAAATCAGGCATCCCTGATCTCTCAATCGTAGCCCCCCTCTAACCCTGAAGTTTCCCCATATTTCTCCTGGACAGGAGCCCAAAGGAAAGAAAGTGAACCACTTGGTTGATAAGGTGGGGGGCACAACGGGGAGCCCTGGAGGAAGAAGATGGATGCTGAAGAATGGCCTGAGGCTGGGAGAAAAGGGAAGGAGGAGGCCTGGGGCCAGGGATCCCCCACTCACACTCCAGGTACTCACAATTGCCTGAATCTCTGAGGTGCCAAAGTCATGGGGCGTCTGCTCCATACGCTGGGCCAAGTGTCGGGCCCCATAGAGAGAGTCTTCTGGCCCCCACTCCTTCAAGGCCTCTTCCCCATCCAGGAAAAGGAGCTGAAGGGTCACAGGAGCCCCCTGTCAAGAGAGAGTGAAGAGCCATCAGGAACAGAAAGGAGGCAGATGTCACCCCTTCCTCTCCACCTCCCCCAAAACCAAGCTTTGGCAGTGAACGTTCTCTGTTCCAGAAAAGTTCCTCCAAGGTTATCCCTCCTTCCCTCTCCCCACAATGGTCCCTCGTTCTCATTACCCGGTCCTTAGAACGGCCAAGCTGAGGGTCAAGGGCACGGACGAGCTCAAGTAGCAGAGCACAGGGCACAGCAGAGTCTGTGGCACCCAGGAAAGGGGGTGCACCTGGAGGGAAGAGCTTGGAATCCAAGTGGCAGGCCAGGGTCAAGCGGCGGGGGGCTTCTGGGGACAGTGTGGCCACCACATTGGCGAAGGCCATAGGCCCTAGTGGGGTCAGGGCTGAGAAGGCGTCCACCTCCACCTGCCAGCCGGCACCTAGAGCCCGGAGCTCATCCTCCAAGAACTGTGGGTACAGGACGGAGGCTTGGAGGGCCAGGAAGCCTGGGTCCTGGCTATGAGTCTGGGGGGAGGTCTAGTGGCACAAATGCCTGTGTCCTGGCTATGAGTCTGGGGGGACCCAGTGGGTCAGGAAGCCTGGGTCCTACTGTGAGTCTGGGGTGGGGGGGCTAGTGGGCCAGATGCCTGCGTCCTGGCTAGAAACCTAGAAAAGAGAGCTAGGACGTTCTAGACACCTGCATTCTGTGTACAGATAGAGGGTAGGGAGGACTTGGTGGGCATAGTAAGGACATTTAATTTCTCCAATAGATCAGGGGAGGAGGGTGAGCTCAGAAGTCTAGGATTCCCAGTGCCTGTCTATGGGTCTGGTAAGGATCTAGGGCATTTAAGATTCCCAGGCCCACTCTAATCCCTCTTCCCTCCCAGGCCCTTCTCTTCCTTACCTGTCGGACCTTCAAGTTCCCAGGACTACCTGGTGGCCTTTCAACCAGCAGGGGCTGAAGGTACTTTCCCCAGAGGCGTTGGGGGTCCAGTTGTTCTAACAATGCCCGAAGGTGGACTTCAGGGAGGCTTCGGGCCTGCCGGGATTGGGATTGGGAAGAGAACAGCCAGGCCTGAGGGACAACCCCTCGGTTCCCTCCCCATCCCTGCCCTCTATTCTGCCTCCCCAAGGCCGTCCTATGCCCACACTAACTCTAAATGGCCCCCTCAGTCTAAAGCATCACAGACCCATGGAACATTAAGAGGAACAGAATGCTGGGGCCCTAGAACTTTGGGAGTCACAGGATGTTTGAGTTAGGAAATGTTCGAACAAGAAGAGTCACAGAACACTAGAAATGAGAAATTTCTTTAAAGAAACTAAAGATGGAGAGAAAGGATCCATGGTACAAAAACTCACAGCCAGCCCTTTTATTGTATGTAGCAAAGGACTGAAAATTAAGGGGGTGTGCGTCATCTGGGGGATGGCTGGCCAAATGGCCTATGGACATAATGGAATATTATGGTGTTATAAGAATGACAAAGGATGGTTACAGAGAAACCTGAGAAGATTTGTATGAACTGACACAGAGCCAAGCGAGCAGGACCAGAAGGTGGATTTAAACAATGACTACAACATTGTAACAGAGAACCACCATGGAGAACTTAAGAACTCTGGTGAAATCAATTGATGACCAATCATGATTCAGGATTCCAATGCTCCCAGCGTGTGAATTTCTTTTTCTGGCTGGATACCTTTGAACTGGCCTTTCCCCATGTCTGGAATGCTCTGTCCAACTGCCCCCACCTCCCAGCTTGCTTTGAGACTCAACTCAAATCCCACGTTCTGCAAGACCTTTTCTGGGTCTTGTCTGTACCCAGTTGTTGCCATGTGGTCTCTCCCAATTAAAATATGAGCTACTTGAAGACAGAGCCCCTGGTTTTGCCTTTCTTTGCCTTAAGAGCCTGGCACATAGTAAGTGTGTTGACTTGCTGATTCTATTTGGTTAAAAGGAAGGGCATTCTGGGGTGGGAGGTGGGGGAGAGGGAGGTCAGTAATACTGATGCCAAAAAGAAAAAAAGAAAAGAAAAGATCAGTGAAACTTTTTTTTTTTTAATGGACAGAGATCAGAAGGCAATTCAGAATGAGACAGGTAGGATAGCTCTGAAGCCAAGGTGTTGAATTTGTTCATGTACACATGTGTACACACACACACACACACACACAAAACTCGAACTGTACCTAATAGACTTGTATTTCATGTACAATCCTTTATCTGTTCTTTGCATGTGAAAATGCTCATGTTTGTTAGTTTCATAATACAAATAATTTTTTCCCCAAAGGATAACAGAATTTTAACATGATAAAAGTCCATGAATAACAGCTCTGAGGTTCTGTAAATGCCAGGATCTTAGAACTTGAGAACGTCAGAACTGGAATTTGGAACTCTGCCCCAAAAGGTTACTAAACTCTGCATACCCCTTGATCCGGCAATACCACTACCAGGGCTATACCCCAAAGAGACCAAAGGAGGAAAAGGACCCATATGTAAAAAAACAGCTATAGCAGCTTCTTTTCTTTTCTTTTGGCACCTTTATTGTGCAAAACTTTGTTTTATTAGCTTCTTTTCTAGTGGCAAAAACTGCACACTAAAGGGGGTGTTTTGGTGACTGGGGAATGGCTAAACCAATTCTGCCATGTGAGTGTAAGAAAAATGGCAAAATGGACAGTTTCAGAGAAACCTGAGAAGACCTGTATGAACTGATGCAAAGTGCTGCAAGCCCAACCAGGAAAACAATTGCTACAAGCTCAGCTACACTAGAAAAGACAACTTCGAAAGATTTTGGGTCTGTGATCGCTGCAATGACAAACATTCTGGAGGGCTGAAGATGAAGCAGCTGGCATCTCCAGATAGAGAAGAGATGGACTCAAAATGCAGAATGAGACCTATATTTTTCACTAGAGCCAAGGAGGGAATAAGCTTCATTTGACTTTGTTGCTATGGTTTTGCTTTTTCTCTTTCTCTTTTCCTTCTTTTTCCCTTGCTCCTTTTTCTTTACGTTTGTCCTCCATTCCTCCCTCCCTCCCTCCTTCACTCCAATTTAATGGATGGGGGAAGTGGAAGGGAGAGAAAAACAACGAATAATTAAGGCATAGTCAATTTTTTTATTAATTATATAATTAATGGTTAATTGATAGAGGGGGGAAAAGAATGTCAGAGCTGGGAAAGGACCGGAGATACCACCTAGTTTACTGTCCAGGGATGGAGCCAGCAAGGAAGGAAGGAATGTCACTGAGAAGAGGAAGGAAAGGAGAAGGAGTAGAGAACAAATCTGAGGCCCTTGGGGGAGGGGGGATCTGAATAATCTGAACAGTAAACAGCTGCTTGGCCACCTGGAAATGATGACACCAAAACTGTCCAGTAAGGAACGGAGGCAGTGGATACAAGGTGCCCTTAGGGGAAAAGGCGCCAGCCGCTGGGGGCACCAGGAGTGAATGGAGCCAGGGATTCTGTGAGGTGAAGAAGAGGAGGGAGGGCTTTCTGGGCAAGGTGGACGGCCGGCACACAGGCACAGTGATGGACTGTCATGTGTGAATGACAGCGAGAAAACCACTTTGGCTGGATCTCAGAAGCCACGGAAGGGAGTAATGTAGAATAAGGCTGGAAAGGTAGGTCAGGGCCAAGTGGCAAAAGACTTTAAATGCCACAGGGGGAGGGGTGTCATGGGATTTGGGAAACTTCCTTTAGCAGCTAAATGGAGAATGGATTAGAGAGGAGGCAGGGAGCCCAGTGGGAACGTTATTGCAGTAAGATAGGTGAGCAGTGACCAGGGTGGCGGCTGGTATGAGTCGAAAGAAGGGGACCTATGGGAGAGGTATTGTGGAGACAAGAATCAAACTCGTTAATGGTGCGAGGGAGAATCAGAATCTGAGGATAACACCAAGGTTGCAAATCTGAGTGAATGGAAGGATGGTGGTGACCTAGACAATAGCAGGGAAATTCAGAAGAAGATGGGTCAAATATTTTACCAAGATTTCAGCCAACTGTTTGGTAACATTTCTAATGCCATTCCTGTGTAAAATACAGAGTGTGGTACAATTAGTTAGATCGACAACAAGCTGAAAGGCCAGAAACAAGCAAGAGTCATCAATTCTGTAATTTTGTTTCCATCTATATATTGAGCCCTGAGCTTGAGTCTTGCATCACCAACTGCCTGGACATTTCAAACCGGATGTCCCGGAGCCATCTCAAACTCAACATGTGTAAAACCGAACTGATGACCTTTCCCCCTAAGCCTCCCCATCTTCCAAACTGCCCTGTTTCCGTCAAGGACGCCACCATCTTCCCAGTGTCTCCGGTTTGGAACCTTGGCATTATCCTGGCTCCCGCACTTTCCCTTATCCCATATATCCAGTCAGGTGCCAAATCTTGCCCTTTCCACCTTCACAACATCTCTCCTCCGACCCCTTCTCTTTACTCACACAGCTGCCATCTTAGTTTGGGCCCTCATCACCTCGCCAAGATCATTTCAATTCCCCCCTCACTGGTCTTTCACAGGTCTCTCCCCACTTGTCTATCCTAGACACAGCAACCAAAGTAATTTTCCTTATGCACAGACTTGACCATGTGGTTCCCCTACTTGGCCAACTCCAGTGGCTTCAGATTGCCTCAAACTGTTCTGGCCCCAGACTCTCCCTCTAGCCTCACTGGACATCAATCCCCTGCCTGTACTCTGCAATACAGCCAAACTGACCTTCTCATGTAACACATGATCTCCCCATCTCTTTGCTCTTGTGTTGACCATCTCCCATGCCCAGCATCCACTCCTCTTTGCCTCATAGAGCACATGTCTTCCTTTAAGATGCAACTTGGGCACCATCTTCTGCAAGGAGCCTTCCCCGAGCTGCCCAACTGCTCCTACCTTTCCTCCCAAGCTACCATATATTTAATTACTTTGTATATACATATATATGCATGTTATGCTGTCTATACCCTTTTATGTACTTGTCTCTTCCTCCTAGAATATAAACTCATTATGAGTACAACTACTTTGTATATAGATATGTAATTATACTTTGTATATACTTCATATATAGATATACATTTATTACCTTTATGTTATATTTTAACCTACATTAAGACTTTGGGGGTACTTTGTCTCCCCCGCACAGTAAGTAGAGATTGTTTTTATCTTTGTATCTCCAGGGCATGGTACACAGTAAGTGATTACTAAATGCTTACTGATTGGTTGCATATCAACTTGAAAGAAAATGGATTGCCCCAGCTAGTTAATATTTTCATCAGTTAATTGAATAAAGGCACAGATAACACCCTAATCATATTACAGACGATGGTCAGGACCCAAGAAGATCATAAGAGGCTGGGTAAATGAAATTTAGTAAACATTAAGTCTGACACTTGGGTTCAAGATGCCAGCTCACAAGTATAATACGGGGAAGGGGAAGCTAGATGGAGGTTCAGCTGAAGAATACCTGGGAGTTTCAGGGCCCTGCAAGCTCAATATGAGTATGATGTAGGAGGCCTAACAAGCTAATGTGCTCTCCATCTATATTCACAGAGGCCTAGCTTTGAGGAACAAGGAGGTGGTATTGTGCCCTGGTCAGAACATCTCTGGAGTATTGTGTTCAGGTGTGGGCACTACACATTAGGAAGACCCCTGATACACTGGAGAGCATTTGTGGAGGGCAATCGGAATCCAGATGAGCCCTGAGCCAGTGCCAGATAAGGATGGCTTGAAGGGGCTAATGATGTTTAGCCTAGAGAAGAAAAGGTTCAGGGGGCTCCCTGAGAACTGGGTCCTGTCTATAACTCTAGAGGAAAAAATTGGGAGGTCTGGGGTATGCAGTCTTTCTATGGGACTGCAATTTTGGGGGAGCAGAGGAAGGTCAGTGGGATGGGGAAGCATCCTGGGAGTCTGGCTTCAGATCTGGGGCTAACCTAATGAAATCAATAGAACCTAGAGCAAAAAGTGACCTTTGAAGTTGTCCAAAGCTCTTATTTTATCAATAGGGAAACAGCCACCCATGGAGGTGAAGGTGCTTGCTGAAGATCACAAGAGGGGCATTTGTTGGGATTCGAACCCAGCCCGTGACTCCAAAGCCATCAGCAGAGGGTCACACACCTGGGCTCTGTCTTCCCCCACCTGTCAGCTCAAAGATCTGGGAAGGAAACTGGGCCTTTCCTGTAGGGAAGCATTTGGCCTTCTTTGTGAGACCACTAGGACAGCTGTGCCTGGAAGAGGGGTGGGGCCAGAGGAACATCTGGTGCTGGGAACTGGAAACCACCCAATGGGACAGAATTACATGAGCCACCAGCAGATGTGATGGATTTTGGCTGGCTCTGGGCTGAGAGGAAGGAGCCACAGCCCACTGGTAGAGAGGACCTTTGAAATGATCGGGTACACCATATCTTTTATAGAGGCACAGGGAACGGAAGAGACAGTCTCACCCATAATTTCATAGGCAGTCAAATAGGGCTTAAAACCCAGGTACTTGAACTACCAACCCAGGACTTTTCACAGGGGAAAGAATTGCAGACCAGGCCGAGTAGGTGTAGAAATACTGGACTCAGAATCAGGGGTCCTGTCGATGAGTCTACAGAAGGGTTACCTTACGTCTGTACATTGGTCACAACCCATTGGGTCTTGGGAGGGGACTTAGCCTTACAGCCTTCAGTTAGCGTGCAAAGGGGCCTGGAGCTGAGCCATGCGGCCCATTCTTCTAGTCTCTGAAGCTCCTAACCTTGGTGTTATCCTGGATTCCTCACTCTCCCTCACCCCACATGTCCAGTTAGTTGCCAAATCTCGCCATTTCTACCACTGTCTCTCTCCCATCTGACTCCTCTCCACTCCCACAGCTTTACTGCAGGCCCTCACCACCTCTCCCCTAGATTCCTTGGTAATAGTGATACTAATGGGTCTCCCCACCTCAGATCTCTCCCCACTCCAGTCTACCCTACACCAAGTCACTTTCCTGAAGCATAGAGCCGACAGTGTGACTCCCTTGCACATCCCCTCCAGTGGCTGGCTTCCTACTGCCTTCACTCCCAGGCGTAGCTTTCAAAGCCTTCACCACACTGGCCCCCACCCATCTTTCCAACCTCACCAGACATCATCCCTCTTCTGCAGTCTGCAATCCAGCCAAGCTGGCCTTCACTCTGTCTCTCATTCATGAAATCTCCCATCTCCCATCTCCATGTCTTTGTGCTCTGGCCGTGTTTGGGATACATTCCCTCCTTACCTCTGCCCCATAGAGGCCCCCTCTACATGTTACACCCAGTTCAATTAGATATCAATTATATAATGAACATAAAGTTTGTAACTACAACTATGTACAAGTTAGGATGTAAACTCTTTGCCAGTAGCGATGATTCCATTCTCTGTGCTTTTATCCCTAGGCCTAGGAGAGCAAACAATAGAACGCTTGTTGAGTAGTTTTCCATAAATGGTGGTAGTAGTGGGGGGGGGGGGGTTGGTCTTCCCTAGAGTAATATGTTTGTGGGATCAGTCTCCTGTGGCCTAGGAGGCCAGTGTTCCCTCAATTTATCCATGGGGTGTGTGTCCAGGTTTCTGTCTCCCATGGATGGGGGGAGCAGTATCTTGTGGATAGATGTATGTGTGTGTGTTGGGGGGAGTGCTAAGCTCTCCTGGATAAGGGTGATTGTGTGTGGGGCAATGTTAGTTTCCAGTGAATAGGTGTGTGTGTGGGGGGGTCCAATCCTTCCCAGATATGTGGGGGGCGCTGTCAGTCTCTAGTAGATAGGTCTATATTGGGAGTGTCAGGCTCCCTAGGATCAGTGATGAGTGGTCAGGCCCATCCTATACTGGTGGATGGGTGGGAGGGGGTCAGTCTCTCATAGATAAGTTTGGGAGTGGTGATGTTAGTCTCCAGTGAATTAGTGGGTGTATTGTCTCTGGCAGATTGGATGGGGAGGCTGTCAGTCTCCCATGGAGCAATGAGGGGGGATCTGTCAGTCTCCTATGAGTCCCTGGGGGGTGTCAATCTCTGATGGATTACTGGGGGGGGGGAGGTATCTGTCTCCCATGGGTCAGCTGGGCTGAGCTGTGTGTGTGTCAGTCTTCCCATGGGTCAGTGGTGGAGGGATCAGTCTCCCGAGGGTCAGTGGGGGCTGCCAGTCTTCCCTGGGTCAGTGGGGGGTGTCAGTCTCCCATGGATCAAAGGGGTGTGTATTAGTCTCCCAGGGTCAGTGGGTGTGTGTGAGGCTCCCATGGGTGGGGAGTATCAGTCTTCCAGGGGTCGTGGCGGTCCCGAGGGTCAGTGGGGGCTGCCAGTCTCCCACGGGTCGGCGGAGGGGGGTGATGGATCATCCCAGGCTCTCTCCCGGCAGGGCTCTCCCGCCCAGCTCCCCACTCCCTCTCACCTGCCGCTCCGGGCTGCCTCCGCTGTTCCTCCTTCGGGGCGCCTCTGCTCCTCCGGCTCCTCCTCCCTTTTTCTCTCCTCCTCCCCTTTCCCCTCCCCCTCCCCCCGGCGCCCAGGCCACGTAGAGCCCGGTGCCTACGGCCAGTGCCACCAGCAGGAGCGGCAGGGGCGGCCGGAGCAGCCGGCGCCGGAGCAGGGGCCGGGTCTGGGACGCCTGGGGCGGCTCGGGCGGACCGCGCTCCCCGCTCCGCCGTCGGGCTCGCCCCTTGCCGCCCCCGGGGCCCCCTCCGCTGCCTTTCCGCATGGTCCCGGACCTGCAGAGCAGCCTCTGCGGCCCGGCAAGCCGAGGTGTGCCCGCCGCGCCACGCCCCTCCGGAAATAACCCGGCCAATGAATTCGAGCTGAGTAGCGATCGCGGCCAATGGGAGGTCCCGACCCAGGCACACGGGGGCACGCCCCCTCCCGCCTCCTTCGGCGGCAGGAGGAAGATTGGCTCCTCGGATGCCACGCCCACCGAAATCGTCAAGGGAACCCGGCACTTGCTACCCCCAACCTACCTGTGGACGATTGGACACTCCCCCAAAGGGCATGACTCTGATTGGTTCTACAGAGGACACGCCTCCCGAACTTCTGATTGGAGAAAGCGAAGGCGCGCTCCCCTTTAACCAGAGATGGTCGGGCCCAAGTCTGAAGAGCTTATTTGCTCTCGTGGGAGCCGCGGTGTTCGTGTAGTGCGTGCGCCTTGTCCACGTGGGCCCACGAGCTCCTAAGGTCCTGGAAGCCTGGACTGTTGCCGTTTGGAAGCAACGTCAGAGGGCATCTCTTCCAGCGAGTGTCCTGTACTGCACCGCAAGAGTGGGCATCCTGCCTCAGCTCGGAGCCCCACAACTAGGCGAAGCCCCACGTTTCCTGGCGGCCCATGACATCTGTCTGGGGCAGGGCTAAACCCAGGGAAGCTTGACCAGGCCTCAAGCTGCCTCTGAGCTCTGCCCTCTGGGGCCAAGTAATTATAAGAATAAAATAATTATCTAGTGCTGGAAGGTTTGCAAATATGTGCTTTACAAATATGATCTCATTTGATCTTCACAAGAAGTCTGGGAGGCAGGCACTATTCCCATTCTACAGCCTAGGAGACGGAGACTGACAGAGCTTAAGTGACTTACCCAGGGTCACAGAGGATGGATTTGAACTCAGGTATTCCTGACTCCAGGTCAAATACTCTGTCTACTGCAGACCACCTGTTTCCATGTTTATTCGAACATAAAAGCACCGTTACTGTGGAATGATCACCAGATTTGAAGACAAGAGGACCTGCATTGAAATCATGCCTCTGTACCATACTACATGTGTGGCCACAGACAAGCCACTTCAATTCTCTGGGGCTTGGTCTCCTCTTCTATAAAAATAAGGACTTGTCCAGCTCTAAATCGATGGACCTAAGGTGCACTATCTAGTTCTCTTCCATAGGAAAGCCCTTCAGATACTTGAAGACCATGATCAAGTGCCCCCGGAGGGTGAAACAGCCCCACTTGCTTCAGCTTAGGACTCTTGACTGTTCTGCACCATTCTGGCAACCACCTTGGTTACCCTTCTGTGGTAACTTTATTTTAGGATCCTGGATCTGAAGGTGAAAAGGACCTCCGGGGCCATCTAGTTCAATTCCTTCACTTCATAGAGGAAACTGAGTTCCAGGGAATTTAATTGTCTAACCCAGGGTTGTCACCCCGGCAGAAAACATCAGAGGTGAGATCTGAATTCAGGTCCTCTGACTCTATAACCTGTGCCCTTTCCTCTGCCCTTCCTAAAATGTGGCTTTTTTTTTTCTTTTTGATGAGACAGTCGGAGTTAAGTGACTCGTTCAGGGTCACACAGCTAGTAAGTGTCAAGTGTCCGAGGCCGAATTTGAACTAAGGTCCTTCTGACTCTATCCACTGCACCACCTAACTGCCCCTATTATAGCAGCCAGAGGGTAAATTGTGGTTTGACCATATAACAAAGTATAGCAGGGCATCACCTTTTTTTTTTTTTAAACCAGATTTGTTATTTCCTTGGTATGGGGATTCCTGATGAGAACTCCCTACACCAATGCAGGGAGGTATCTGCTCTGTGTGTGTGTGTGTACACACACACACACACACACACACACATCTTCCCTTTAAACTGGCCATCTTGAAGGCCCTCACACACTTCCATACCTTGCAATGCCCTGTCTTCTCACCTCCACACCCTAGAATTCACAGTTTCCTTTAGTGCTCAGTTCAAATGGCACTTTCCACATGAGAACTCTTTCTTGATGTCCCATCCCCAGCGGCTTCCCCTGAAGTGACTTTGTATTTGTTTAGTTTTGGATTTTGAGGCAGCTGGGTGGTCTGTACATAGGCAGAATTTGTGCTCAGGATGACTGGAGTTTGAATCCTGCTTCTGAGGGCAGCTGTGGAATCTGGCAAGTCCCTTCATCTTCTCTGGCTTCAGCTTCATCTTTGGAACAAAGTGGGCAATTGCAGCACCTACTTCTTGGGGTTCTGCTGAGGACCACTTTGCACACCTTGAAACACTACATAGATGTTGGTTATTACACATTACATTTCTAACTGACTTAGCTCTTATATTTTTAATTTATAACATTTTGTGTTTAGTTTTATGCGGGCACAGTCTCCCCCTACAGTATATACACTTCTTAAAGGCAGAGGCTTCCATTTTATGTCTTTGGATATCCAGTGTCTACCAAAATGCTGGCGGACAGTAGGTGCCTAGTAAATTCGAGTTTGGTTGACTGAGCGGTATGGGGAACACAGGCTAATAAAAACCTCAAATCTTTTACAGAGGTACGGCTAGAAAATCTAGCCACAGCACTGACATCTCACATCATCAAGATGAGGGCAGTTACTCAGTCTTATCCACAGGGTACAGAATCTGAAACTTTCTTAGAACCTAAACATCAGTTGTTTGAGCATGGGAGGCTCTTAGAAGTCACCCCACCCAGAAGTTGATGTTAATATTATTTTTCAGGCATGTCCTACTCTTCATGTTTCTTGGCAAAGGTCCTGCAGTGGTTTGCCATTTTCTCCTCTAGTTCATTTTGCAGATGAGGAAACTGAGGTAAACAGAATTAAGTGACTTGCCTAGGGACACACATAGCTAATAAGTGTCTGAGAAGCTCCATGCACGCTGCCTGTTTGTTTTTTTTGCTTTTTTTTGGTGAGGCAACCGGGGTTAAGTGACTTGCCCAGGGTCACAGTTAATAAGTGTCATGTGTTGGAGACTGGATTTGAACTCATGTCCTCCAGACTCCAAGGCCAGAGCTCTATCTACTGTGCCACCTAGCTGCCCCTTGCCTATGACTTCTTCAAATAACTCAATCCTGTCTTTGACACTTGTTAACAATGTGACCATGGACAAGTGAGTTAACTGGAGCCTGTTTCTTAGACAGCTGTAAGCCCTAGTTCAGTGTGTTGCTGTGAGGGTCAGATGAGGTCCATTTAACCTTTAAATGCTATATAAATGTGTGTTGTTATCAAAAGCTCCAGGTTCTGGCTGCAGTCTTCCTGGATTCCCCTAGTTAGCAATACTCTTCCCCTAGGGAGCACCAGCACAGGACAGTGAAAACAGTCAGAGACCTTCCTTCCAGCTCCAGCCCTGACCCTTATCATCTATCTCTATGACCTTGGGCAAGTCACAGGATTGGAAACAAAAAGGTAACTCCAAAGTCATCCTATCCAAGCCCCTCATTCTAGAGACAAGAAAACTTGGGTATACAGTCAATGCCCTCCCCCGTGGGCATGTAAGAGAGTTAGGTGGGATAGGCTAGATTCAAACCCACGTACCCCAAATTTCAGGCCAGTGCCCTCGCCTCTGCCAGGATGCCAATGTCACTTCTCAGGCCTGAGCCTTGGGATCCTCATCTCTAAAGTGAAGGCCACTGGACCAGAAGCCCGATCAAGGTCTCTCCTATGTCTGAAGCAATGATCTGCTGACTGCACACAGCCCTCAGTTTCATTCAGTTGTTTTTCAGTTGTGTCCAACTCTCCATGACCCCACTTGGGGTCTTCTTGGCAGAGATACTGGAGTGGTCTGCCATCTCCTCCTCCAGCTCATTTTTACAGATGAGGAAACTGAGGCAAACAAGGTGAAGTGACTTGTCCAGGGTCACACAGCTAGTAAGTGTCCGAGGTCAGATTTTTAACTCAGGAAGGTGAGTCTTCCTGTCTCCAGGCCCAGTGCTCTATCCACTAAGCCACCTAGCTGCCCTCTGTTTACACCTTTCTAATGCACCTTTGATGTATTACAGTCGTAGGTTTGGTGTCTCTTCTCTCTGGGCTAGCCTGTGAGTGCCAGGGTAGATGTGGTGTGTTATCTACACTGTATATCCTCCAGGGCCCAGCACAGGGGTTATTTCCCCAGCACACACTCAGTACACACACATCTGAACGAACTACCGAAGGTCCCCTGATGCACGGTATGTCCTTGGTAACTCAGGGGCCATTGTAAAAGGGAAGGAAAGCCCTACGTTTGCCATCGGAGGACCTGGCTTTAAATTCTGGCTCTGTTAATTACAGACCCTGTGTGACCTGAAACAAGGTTCTTGTCCTCTCTGAGCCTCTGCTGTCTGTCTGTCTGTCCACCTGTCTCTCTCTCAGTTCAGACTGCAGCATTAACCATCAGACTGGGTCCCTGTGCTGGGGAAGGCACATCTGAAGATGACTGTGAGATTTTCAAAGTCTGTGATAATAACAGCTTTATGGAAAGAACATGTCATTTGAAGTCGAGGATTTGTAGCTCTAAATTCTAAGACCCTATTCGTTAAAATGTGGATTATCGTGTCATTAACTTCCCAACCCAAGCTGGGCCTCTGGACACCTCCCTGCTCCTGCTGCCATTCCCTGAACACACGCCAGCTGAGGCCCAGACTTATAAATAGTTGCTTTATAGAAAGGGCCGATTCCCAAACCGGCCAGACTGCCACACAGGAGAAGCATTCAGAACCACAAAGATGTAAAAACAAACAAACAAACAAACAAAAAAAAAACCACCACGAAACAAATAAACAAAAAAAAAAAAATTAGACTGTCCCAGATTGGATTCCCCGCTTCCCCAAGAAACCCAGGAGTCTGTTTTTCTTCTGGGAGCCAAGTGGAGATGAGCCCAGCTCTGCTAAGGCAGGACCAGAGCCCCTCAGAGTTTGCTCTGAGTTGATGTGGGAAACCCAGAAATTCCAAGCCAGGTTCCCACCATTCTCAGAAAGGATTCACAGCTTTGGGATTGGGGGTTGCTTTAAATTGTGGGATGAGAGGCAAATGGATTCAAATCTTTAAAAAAAGAAATGTTTTCCCTTCTCTCTACTCCAAGGAAGAGACAGGGGAGATTATGGATGAGGCAGATTTGGGAGAAGATGCTGCTAATGTCTCTTCCAGAGACTGGAGAGAAACATGAAGGGGGAATGGGGAAGGGGGGTAGAGAGAAGGAATTAGAGGTCTGGAGACTGTCCAGGAGAGTGGACAGGAGGGTCAATGAAGGTGCCGAGCAGCCTAGGGGAAGGGGTCCTGGGGATTCAAGAGAAATGCCGGTGAGGACTGGAGGAGATGGACAGATGGGAATGTCGGGGTGTGGACAATGCCTCAGTCCACTCTCTGCTGGCAGGGCCCTTGCGGGGAGAGACTGAAAGGGGACAGGGCCCCTGGCTCATACCCCAGCACCATCCCCACCTGGTGAGGCCAGATCAGAGGAGGAGAGGAGTAGAGGGGGCTGAGATGAAGACCACATATTACTGAGATGCCCTTCTCCATTCCCGGGCCCCAAAACACCTTAGGGAGAGGAGACTGTCCACAGGGCTTAAGTGACAAAGCCGATCAAAGGGGGGGGTGTCTGGCAGGCTCCTCATTCCCCTTCGATTGGCTACCAATCGGTTTGTTTCTTCCGAGGTGGGGTGGGCCGACAAGCAGGGGGGGGGGGGGGGGGGGGGGGGGGGGCGGGCCCTCCCTCCCCCTCCCCCCCCTTCACCTGGCGTCCTCGCGGCCGGGTCGGGAGGCCGCCAGCGTGTGGCAGGGGAGCACCCAGTTGTTGTCATGCAGGCCCAGCCGGCAGCCCGGCGTGTCCTTGTCGGGCCGGCGGCAGCACATCCAGTAGGAGCGGCCGTAGGGCAGGTCGTGGTGGTAGGGCTTGGGGTGCCAGCGGCACAGCGACACGTCCCCCTTCTCGTAGCACTTGCGGCATTGCTTGCAGGGGTCGTCTCGGTACAGCGGGTGGCGGCTCCAGCGGGAGTCCGTGGCCTGGACGCCGAACGTCTCGATGACGCACTTGAAGTAGTGGCACGTGCACTTGAGGGCGGCCAGGGCGCGGGTGGGCAGGTAGCCGAAGATCTTCACCAGGACGTGGTCCGGCAGCAGCAGCATGTACTGGCGGGGCTCCAGCAGGCGCTGGATCTTGAAGCGGATCTCCAGGAAGTCGTGGGACACGTGGTGGTAGAGGCGGCACAGGGAGGCATCGGAGGCCGTGCCTGCCGCCTCAGGATCGCTGCCCTCCGGTGTGGGGGTGGCTGGCGCCTCGGGGGCGGCCGGAGCCTCGGGCGTGGGCTCCCCTCGGGCTGGCAGCAGGAAGAGCTGGCCCGGGGGCGGCGGCTCCTCGGGGCTGACTGTCAGGCACACCGTCTCCTCCTTCACGGTCTTTGCACCGTCCTTGCCGAAGAAGACACACTCATCCACCACACCGGTCACCACCACGTCCACGTGGAAGCCCGCGGCGCCAGCTCCCCCGCACTCTCGGGCCCCCGTGGGGGGCGGGGGCGGGGCCGGGGGCTTATCCCCCACAGCTCTTTCCGGAGGCCCCTCGGGGTGGGCAGCTCCTGCGGCCTCCCCATCGCCAGCCTCCTCTGCCCGGGCCAGCAGGAAGTCCACGTTGCTGGGCAGGGCGTCCCTGGAGGGGCTGATGAGCTGGTACAAGTCACAGGTGATCTTGTCCTGGGCCCGGCTGCTGGGGCCCGGCCCTCCAGCGTAGGTGCATCCTGGCCGGCTGCTGCAGCCGGCGCCCGGCTGGCTGCCTTCCGGAGAGCGGGGCTCCCTGCCGCTGGAGATTCGAAAGGCAATGCGCACCTCGCCAGGCCCTCCACCGCGTCCCCCGTCCCCTGTGCGCATCTCCTCCTTGCGGGGCCCATCACGCCGGGCCTCAAAGTGGGCCACGGCCTCGGCTACGCGGCTGCAGTCGCTGCCCGGCCTTCGCTCCCCACCCGGGCCCTGGGCGCCCTGCTCGGCGGCTGACACGAACACAACGGGAGTTGGGGGCCCCGAGCGGGGATAGCTCTGCAGGGCCAGAGCAGCCCTCTGCTCCACCAGGGCCACCATCTCGGCCACGGAGAGCAGGTCCACGTCCTCGGGGGCACCGGCAGCCGTCTCGCCAGGAGCGGACAGCTGCTGGTCCTCCTCTCCCCCGACATCAGGGGGCTTCCCGGGGCTGGGGCGGGGCTTGGTAGAGTCAAGGCAGCGGCGCCTCCGCTTGGCCTTCGAACTGTCACTGCCCCAGTGGCCCTTGACCTTCCCCGCACTGGCCCGGCTGGCACCACCACCGCACTGGTGGGCCACAAAAAAGGCCACCTTCTCCTTGGTGTTGCCCGGCTTGATGACGTACCAGGTATCCAGCAGGACCCGGCCCTCTTCACCAGGGGCAGTGGAAAGCAGGGGAGCTGCAGGGCCTGCAGGGGCTGGAGGCGTGTTCTCTGATCGGGCCAGCCCATCGCCAGTGCCGATGCTGCTACCACTCCCGGGCTCAGGGCAGGCAGGGGGAGGTGGGGGCTTGCGGGTGGAGGGGGCGGCAGAGCGGGGCTGATTCTGAGAATAGGTACCAAAGGGCCTTGGGCACCATAGCTGCACTGGAGAGAGGCTGCTGGGGTCCATGGCTGTTGGGCCAGACGAGAGTCACCACATGCTGAAGACCTGGCGGGTGGAGATGAAGGCGCCCAGAGCCACCTGAGGAAGGGAAGACAGACACAGGCATTTAATTAAGAAACTGACTCATAGTCTCAAAGTTGGGAGAACTCACAATGTAGAACCTTAGAGCATGGAACCCCTGAGCTGGGATGGACAAGTAGCAGCACAGTGTAAGGGGAATTGTAGGACATTGGGAGTTTGGGGGAGGGGTTATCTTGTCTTTGCCCCTTCCCTCAGGAAAGTCCCTTTCCTTCCTTTGGGTCCCCGTTTATTAACAGGCCTAGGACATCTGTGCTTGGGCTCACCTAGTGGTTCATGCTATAGGCTTTCTAAGGGCTGTGTGGGGAGGCCAGATACGACAGCGATTTAGGGCGCTGACCAAATGATCATGCCACATCAACTGAAGAAACTGGGAATGTGTAAGCTGGAGAAAAGAAGGTTTGGGAGCTTCAGGGAAGGATGAATATATTCAGAAGAGGGCCTGAACTTTCAGGCAAAGCAGCAGCTTTAGGCCAGACAGAAGGAAAAACTTTGAGAGCCGTCCCAAAATGTGATAAATGGTCTGACAAGGGACAAAATGCTTTCCCTCTCTCTGGAGATCTTCAGAAAGAGGCTGGGCACTCTGGGGGAGATGCTATAGACTGTGCCAGGAGGATCATTAGAACACACCAGGCCTCAAGGATCAGAGATCTAGAGCTGGAAGGTGCCCTGGGGCACATCTTAACCCCCCCTTTTACAGAGGGAAAAACACTGGCTCCAGAGGGGAAGCCAAATCTAAGCAAGTGGACCCTTAAGGCCCTCCTGCTTCCAGGGTCCCTTCCACTCCAGCATAGACTCTTTGTCTCCTCAGTTCCTGTGGCTGCTCCCACCCCACACCTCCTCTTCTATAACCCTGTCTGGCTCACTGCACCGGGCAAGAATTTGCAGCACTGCCCACAGCTATGGATGCCAGAGCCCACTGGCCAGAAGGAACTGCAAGGAGAGGGAATACTTGTCAAGGTTCTGAGAGCTAGAAGGGAGGGACCCAATAAGATAATGGGGTACAAACTCATTCTACACAGGAGGATCTTCCACACAGGCTCTTGTCCTGTCCAAACGGGCATAGCACCCCCCTGAGGTTTGGGTCATGCCACTTCCTGCTGGCCCTATTTACTCTGTGTGCCCCATACCATACCCCCTTCACTTTCCCTAACCCCCAACCCCAAAATTCAGGCACCAAATAAATCCACACAACCCCCCATAGTCTTTTCACCCAGACTCCTCTCCAACTGCAGGCAGATATACATTTAGTGCTGGCAGAGCCCTAGAAAGTCATTCTACAACCAATCCTTTATTTTATAGATGAGCAAACTGAGGCCCAGAGAAGCAATGACTCGCCCAAGGTTACACAGCCAGACAGCTGCAGGGATCAGGGCTCTCGACTCCAAATGCAGACCCCTCCCCAAGGCCCCCAGGGGGCCTCCTGGTCCACTCCCCCTCCTAACCCTGGGTAAGGTTCAGAGGGAATCCCAGAGCGTGGAAAGTCAGAGCGCATGCGCCAGGAGTGCTGGTGGAAGCAAGCCACGCCCCCTCCTCGTTCTCCAGGCGCCCTGGCTCTAGTCCAGCCTTCCAGTGAAGGGAAGGCGAGAAGGAGGGGGGGAAGGAGGGAAGGGTGGAGAGTCGAGCCGTCCCGGGAGCCCGCGCCACCACACCCCGCCCCCCCCGCCCCTTTGTTGACAGACTCGCGCATGACGGCGCAGCCCAATGAGATGCCGCTGTTCGGGGCCATGCCCATATATGGATGGACAACGGCGAAAGGGCGGGGCTTGGAGATATGGTGGGGGGATGGGAAGGTGTGCGCCAGCTGGCCAGGGAGCGTCCTCCAGTTCCTAAGCCCGCACTCTCCCGTGCGGAGGGAGGGGGAAGGACTTACGTCTTCCGCGGGTCTTTCTTATCTAGGTTCCCTGAACTCCCCTACTCCCTCCACCCCACCCCCATCCCTTCCCCCCTCCCCCCGCCGTGGACAGGGCAGGATTTAAAGCGCCAGGCCCGCACTGAAACAGGCAAAGTGAAGTGGGTGGAAACCCGGCGGGGACAGTTAGAGGGGGAAGTCTGGAGTTGCCCTCAGCCCCCCAGGAAATCGGGGGCCCCCATCTTCTCCAGGACCCAGAGGCAGCGTCTCACTCCCTGGCAGGGGAAAAGGGCCAGTGGGGGTGGAGGGTGGGTTCTAGAGCCGGACTCGAACCCCACCCTGGCCCCCGGCTCTCCGGGCAATGCCCAGCACACAGCAGGGGCCCAGAACACGTCGGACAGCTCTAGAGGGCAGGGGATGTGCTTGGGGTCACAAGGCCCTACCCCCCACCCCACTGCCACCGCACACGGCCTGGGCAGAGTCCAGGGGGGCCCCAAGTTCAAATCTCACCCCTGGCACCTACTAGTGTGAGACTTAGTGACTTAACCTCCACTCTAAAATCGGGTCCCAATGCCAGAGACCAGGCCATGGAGCGTACTGTGAACCTTAGGGTGCTCTACAAATGTCAGCTAGGATCTTTGTCCTCAGACACCCACCCTCTCCTGCCACCCCCAGGAGCTGGGAGGAAAGCACGCTTCAGTTTGGGAAAGACACTCTTGCCTCCTCTAGCTGCTGGTGATGTCCTGTTCCTTACAGTATGGGGTCCAAGCTAGGATCACATTGACTCTGAAATACCTGAGTTTGGGTCCTGCCACAGACACCACCCACCGGCTCTGTGCTCTAAACAGGCCACTTAACCTCTGGGCCTCGGTTTCCCCATCTGTAAAATGGGCGTCATCATCATCATCATCATCACAATTATATCGGCCACTTCAGAGAGTAATGGTGAGTCTCACATGAGATAATATCTGTAAAACACTTTGGAAACCTGAAAGTGCTAGATAAATGTGAGCTGTTTGCTATTTACATTTTCAATGAAATTTTATTGACAAGCTGTTGTTGTTGTTACTATCTTCCATAGCCCATAGGAAAAAGGTCAAAATCCATTCAGTGCAATAATCATTTAAGTGCCTACTATATGCCAGCATGAAGCTAACTTCTGAGTTTGGCATTCGAGGCTTTTACAACCAAGGTTCAACCTCTCTCTCCAGCCTCAGGCCCATTCCCCAGTCCTTATCAGAGCCTTGAAGGCCTCCCGGTCAAGTGGTAAGTCCTTCAGGAAATACTTCCAGCTCTTTTTCCAGGAGCTGCTGAACACCACCAATGCAAATCCTTGGCACTCACTGTCTGCCTTATACAGCCTTAGACTGTGAGCTCCCTGAGGACAGGGACCAGTTCTCATTCACTTCTCTTTTCCTTAACTTCTAACGGTAGTTAGAGCCAAAGAGAGAAGCTTAGAATAAGAAAGTACTTAGAATCTAGAACATTCAGAATGTGTAGCTCAGCTACAAGGCCTCCATTTTACAGATGAAAAAAGTGAGGTCCAGAGGCAATGGAATTGCACCAGGGTCAAAGCAAGGGATTTGTCTAAGGCCATCTATGCACCTCTCCCCCTGCCCCCCACACATAGAACAGATGACAGAGTACAGAGCTGGGGGGCAGGGGGGTTGCCTCCCACTTCAGGGCTCTTCACTACACCTTATGCTTAGGCACCCGTTCACTGGATCGAGGACATAAAACCCCTTTCTCCTTGGTCCCCAGATCTCATCTTGATGGGGCTCCTTAGGGACATGAAAGCTGAGAGGCTGATACCCAGATACAAGGCCCAGCTCTGATTGCAGAAATAAGCGACCTGGGTCAGGCCTGGCTATCTCTGGTCCTTTGTCTAGGAATAAAATTCCCTTTGCCCAACCTCACTCTTGTGCCCTTCCCCTTTTGGGGGTATCAGTTTCCCCAACTGTAAAATGAAGAAGTTGACAGTCTAAGATGCTTCCCAGATCTGACATTCCATGTTCTAAGGTTCCTCCCATCTCAGATATTCCCGGTTCTAAAATCCTTTCCTGTTCTGACATTGCCGGTTCCAAGGTCTCTCTCCACTCTGACATTCTCTGTTTTGTGGCCTCTCCCAGCCCTGATGTTCCAAGTTCTAAGGTCAATCAGGCTCCAACATTGCCTGTTCTAAGATTCCCTCCCAGCTCAGACATCTCTAAGCTCCATTCAGGCTCCCCAGTGCCCTGATCTCCCAGCTCGGACACCCTGACATCTGGGGGCCCTCCAGGCACTCCGGCTCTCCGGGTTCCCTGGACTCCCTGGGGACTCTGCAAGGGGGAATAATACTGATGGTCAGGCTGGTCCCAGACCAAGGATGGGGTGCTGATGGTCCCCGGGACCTCGGGGTAACTGAGGTTTCTGGGCGTCCAATGATCTCTGGAGCCTTCGCGAAGAGGCTTTGACTTCGTACAAACACACCTGCCCCCTCTTCTTACGGATGGGGAAACTGAGGCCAAAGACGCCCGCCCCCCCTTGCACAGGCAGGGAAACTGAGGCCGGAGAGGGGCCAAACAGAGAGGGTGGTGGAAGGACCAGAGGAGGAGGCGGCCCCCCCCGTCCCCCCCCCAGGGTCAGGACCCCTGAGCGGGGGCGGGGCAGGAGTGAGGCCCCTTCCTCCCACCTGTCTCCCCTCCCCCAAGGTGCCCCGCCCCCCCGGCCCGGTCTGCGCGCGGGGACGCTTCCAGCGCCCGCCTGGGGCCGCCCCTGCCCGCCTCCTCCCGTCCCCCCCCCCTCGGCCTTACCCGCTCCGGGCGCCCGCAGGTCGCTCCGCGCCAGGGGTTCCCCTACTCACTCACTCCACTCACTCCACTCACTCGCCCTCCTGCCTCCACTTCCGGGTTCCCGGCGCGGGGCACGCCGGGAGTTGTAGTTCGGCGCGGGGTCGGAGGGGACGGGAAGGGAGGAGGGGAGGGAGGGACTCCATCTCCCAGAAGACCATTCCGTCGGGAAGATCGGCGGGGCCGAGGTCTTCTATGGGAATTGTAGTCCCCGGGCGGCCATTTTGGCCAGGATCTTCCCTCGCTGGGACTTGGATTGTGAACACCACAGTGGGAAAAAGGACCAACGCCATTCCCCCTGGCCTTTCAGACCCAAGGACAGGGCCGTCAAATACGCATCAGGACCTATGCTGGGTGATGAAAATAAAAAGGCAAAAAATGAAGCAGGACCTGTCATTCATTCTGTTGATAGATGGCTGTTGAAACCCCCGTCTAGTTCTGTATCCGCGATCCTGTAATCCCGGTCTCCTGGACTTCCCTGACCCCACCTTGCTGTGCTCCACATACTCTGAAATCTCATGACCCAGCCTTTCTTGCTTTTCCCTTGCACATGACATTCCATCTCCCTGACACTGCCACATCATAATAAAATACTCTCCCTCTTCATCTCTGTCCCAGTTAAAATCACATCTACAAGAAGCCTTTTCCAATCCCCCTTAATGCATTAGTGCCTTCCCTCTGAGATTACATCGCATTTTTTCTACGTGGATATTGTTTGTACAGAGTTGTCTTCAGTATTGGACTGTAAACTCCTCAAGGGCAAGAACTGATTGATTTTTACCTTTCTTCACAGCTCAGTATTTAGCACAATGCCTGGCACAAAATAGGTGCTTACTAAATTCTTGTTGATTTGACTTTGAGTTCTTTTCACCCATCCACTCACATACTGCCTCTCTAGAATTATTTTAAGTGTGTGTGTGTGTGTGTGTGTGTGTGTGTGTGTGTGTGTGTGTGATTTTTAGGGCTGCAAGGGAGCTTAAATAAGGATCATTGTGTCTAGAACCAAAATGATGAAACCAAGACCGAGATGGGGAAGGATTTGCCCAATTTTAAAAACAAGCCCACATTTTACAAATGTAGGAAATGATTTTGGGGCTCGTGGAAGAAAGAAGGCCATATTTGGGGTAAGGACCTGGGTGTTTGTATCTCAGTTCTGCTATTTACCATCTGGTATGAACTGGGGTAAATTACTTCCCATCCCAATTCAGGTTTCCCTACTTGCAAACTGAATGGGGTTAGATTGTCACCTCTAAGGATTCTCCCAGTTCTATATCCTGTGATCCCCTGACCTTCATTGAAAGGGGACTTGCTACCTTGAGTATATTAGCTTAGAGTCCCAGAGGACTCATGTTCTGGTCCTGACCTCTCCCCACCCCCCCCACCCCTGCCCTCCACTGTTCTGTGAGTAAGACAGAGTCAGGCACTACCACCACCTTGTCCATCACCTCTCCTCAGACCCTGAAGGAGGAAGCCCAGAACCCTGAACCCAAGAACCTCTGGAATAGTCATGCTTCCAGCCCGGAGTTAAATGGTTCAACATCAGAAACTGATATAATTGTATTAGTGGAAATGACATTAGAGAAGAGGTCTCATCATCTGCTTTGCTGCTGCTGCTTGCTTAAGTACTATGGGAACTTTCCACAGACTTGCAGCTGAGACTCTCCATGTGTGTTGTCTCCCCCCATAGAACATGAGCTCTTTGAAAGCAGGGACTCTTTTCTAGTTGTGTTCCTAGTGCTTTGCACGTAGTAAGCACTTAATGAATGTTTCATTCATTCATTCATTCAAGGTCATTTAATTTAAGGTCAATTTTCTTTGCATCATTTCCCCATCTGCAAAACGAAGGAGTGGTCCGATTCAGGTTCTGAATTCTGAGTGATGAGAACTGAGAATCAGGGTCAGAGCAGGGACTTGAATGGGATTGCTAACCCACCGAAGGGTAGCAGGCTCCTGCAAGCCTCAGACCGGGGCGAGACCAGCGCGCGCCGTTGCTACAGTAACCGAGCAGGGGCGAGGCTGCCGGCGGGGCACCTCTGGAAGCGGGGCCACGCCTCCCCCCCCCCCCCCCCCCCCCCCCTCTTCTCCGCGGCCCCCCCTCTCCTTCCCCCCCCCCCCCCCCCCCCCCCCGCCCTTTTGGGGAATCCCCCCCCCCGGATTGGCTCGTGCGTCCCAGGGGCGCTGCAGTTCTTTTGTCTGTCCTTCCACTTAGGGAAAGGAGTGGGCCTGGGAGCCTGCAGCCACGTCCTGGAGCCAGTCCCTTGTCCCCCAACCCCCAGTCACTGGGCCTCACCTGCACCCACGCAGTGCAGCCCCTCTATCCCCATGGATGGTTTGCTCCACCAGGGCCTGGCCATGATGGCCTTCTGGGACTGGGGAGGGGGAGGGGAACGAGAGAAGTACATCCACGCCTGCGGGTAAAACTCTCCATGCCTCAGTTTCCCCATGTGGAAGATCAGGGCCTACATGGCCTTCACAAGCTCTCTTCTATCGGTGATGGAGGCCTTGAATGCCAGACTGAAGAACATGGTGGAAGGACAGGGAAGGGGATTGGAAAGTGAGAGAGCCCCGTGAAGACAGTGGGAGGGAGCAGTGGGGCGCAGGGGGGTCGGGAAGGGGAGGTAACATGTCCTCCTTTCCGAAGCCCCTCCCCCCTCCAGAGACGTTAACAGTTGATAGTTGACAGTTGACGGTTGACAGTTGACAATTGGAGGGAGGGCAAATACCCTGGACTGGGAGGAGTCGTGGGGAATTTGTGGGCGGGGGGGTGGAGCAGGGGGGAGGGAGGGCAGGAGCCTGTTAACTAAAGAGGCGGGGCCCCCCCACAAAAGGCGGGAAAGCGCCTCGTGACTGGCAGGCAGGGGCCAGATGACTGGAGGCGCAGCGTCACGAGTCAGCTCAGCTCGATGAGAGAGCCGAGAGGCTGGAAGGGAGCGAGAGGGGCGGAGCCAACGAGGCTTCCGTCCAATCCAGGGTAGAGATTGCAAAATGCGGGAAGCTCAGGAAGCTCCAGGCCTGCCGCAGGGGAATGGGGCGGGGCCAAAGCAGCGAGGCGGAGCGCTATTGGCCAGTCGGTTGGCCGTGCGCGGGCTGCAGCTGGGCTTCAGGGCAGCTGTGGCTCTTGCAACAGAGGCGAGGACGAAGGCGGCTGCGGCGGCTGCGGCGGCTGCGGCGGCTGCGGCGGCTGCGGCGGCTGCGGCGGCTGCGGCGGCTCCGGCGGCTGCGGCGGCTGCACGCGCTAGGTTCCAGGCCCGGGGTTCGCAGGCCAGAGGGACGGGCGCGCGTGCGCGTGGCGGCTTTCCCCTGCCCCCCCCCTCCCCTCCCCGGCCCGCCTGGGGTCTCGCGCCTGCTCCCGGGCAGCAATCGGGGGCAGGACGCTGCTGGAGGGAGGCCGGGGCTGGAGGAGGCGCGGCAGGAGGGTACTGGGGCGGGGGGGTGGTAGTGGTACCGACTGGGCACATCGCCTGCCCTCTCTCCTCAAGGTGGGGCCACCCGCCCCACCCCGGGGTCCCTCCCTATGCCCCGCCCCCAGATCTCCTGGCCCCACCCAGGAGCCCTGTTCCCCTCCCCCAGCTCCCTTGGCCCCCCCTTGCCTGCTCCCGACTCCAGTGTCCCCTCCCCCAACACCTCCCCCCCGGTCTGCGCCCCACCCCGTTACTTGGGCCCTCCTCCACGTTTCTCCCCCAGCTTTCTACTCCCTCTCTTGACCCTCGCACATCCCACCCACCTGCTTCCCAACTCCCAGGGTCCCTTCCTTTCCATCTCTCCCTAACTGGGGATGCCCAGACCCTTCCCCCATGCCCTGCCTCCCTCCCCTCTTGATCTCCTTGTCCTGCTTCCAAGGGCCTCGCCCCCCCCGAAAAAACCGTGCCCTGTCTTCTAGGGTCCCCTCCACCGCTGGGGAAGCCTGCACCCTTCCCCTGGGCCCCACTCCAAATTTCCCCCTTCCCATTCCTTGGCATTCTACCTCCCAGAGCCCCTCCCCCAGATCCTTCCTCCCGCTTCCCAAAGGCTTCTCCCCCACACTTGTCCTCTCCCTTCCTGCATTCTCCCCTCTGAAGATGCCCAGGCCCCTCCCTCCATGCCCTGCCCTCCCCCTCAGTTCTTTCCCTCCAATACAATCCAGGGGCCCTTCCACCCAATTCTTCCTGGGCCTTGCCTCCTTCCTCTCCCATCCTTCACTCCCTAGCTGGCCTGTGTCTCTAAGGACAATGACCCAGCCCACCCCTACCTGCCTTAGGGAACCTTTGCCAGATTTCCCCCTTCCTCCCAGATCCTAATCTCCCTTCCTTTATATTTCCCCCACTCCTTCCAGGGCCCCAGGGGAAGAGATGACCCTCTTCTCCCCATGGATTCTGCCTCCTTTCTTAGAAGGCCAACTTGGGGCCTCGAGAGAGAAGTACCAGTCCCAAGGGTGTCGGAGGCCAATGGCCCACTGATTGCTTCCCCTTCTTTCATCTCCCTTTCCAGATGTGAGGCCCCAGTGGACACCCATATACCCCCTGAACGGCCTCAAGGAGGCCCTGGCTGCAGAATGGGCCCACTCTGCCCCAGTGAGAGGTAACAGGGGAGCACCAGGAGGGGGAAGGAGTCTCCTCTTTGTACCAGAACAGATGACAGAGCTAGAGATTCTTAACAGAGGGAAGAGAGGTGGAGAGAACATTGGATTTGAGTCCAAAGGTCTGGGTTCCAATTCCACATATGCCACCTACGTGATCTGGGACAAGTTGATTCTTCTTTGGGTCTTAGCTTCCTCATCTGAAAAATAAAGGGGTGGATTAGGTGGCCTTTGAGGTTTTTGCTATTCCTGGACTTTCTGATAATGTGATTTTTCAGTGCAAGACAATTTAGTTGTTAAACTTGTCCTAGAGAGGCCTGGGAGGGGATATTGAAGAGAGGTTGCCTGATTGGAGCTTGAAAAGAGGAGGGACCTAGAAGCAGAAAGGGTCACCTCTTGAGGACTGGGGATTCCCCATCACTAAAAAGCTTCAGCACAGGCTGGAAGAGCCTTGTGGGAAATCAGGCGGTTTGACCCGGTGGAAAGCTGGCTGAAGCTCACAAAGGATTGCTTTGGGGCCCCACCTGTGATGCTAGCTTTGGGACTGTGGGCAAACCAGCAGCCGCCAGCACCTGCTTTGAGCCTGATATCTGCTGAGCCAGGGGTACAAAGAAGGGCAAAGATAGTTCCTGCCCTCAGGGAGCTTGCATTTTAAGGGGTGAAACACCAAATAACTTGCACACTAGATAGAGAGATATACTTATCTATCTGTACACACATACATACAGATTAGATTGAAGGCAATCTGGTGGGAGGAGAGGGGAGAGCAGTGAATAGCAACTGAGGAGACCATGAAAACCTTCCTTGGATAAGTGGTATTTGACCTGAGGATACCCCTTACTCAATATGAAAGGAAATGAATTTTAGCCTTTACCATCCTCTCTTCGGGGATTATGTGAGCCCCATGTTGGGAACTTTCGATTTAAAGGAATCCCTCTAGCGAATTGGGAGGATGGACCCCTTTTAGGAGGATTTACAGGAGAACATGGATGAAGGTAGCACTGAATGAGAGGCTGTGATCTTTTCCATCTGTAATTTTATATGGAGCACCCACATTCATGACATCAAAGCTTCATCATACTATCAAAGGAGTACTGATTTTACTAGGGTGTGAGGGTCATTTGAGCTAATGTATGTAAATGATTTGGCCAATCTTAAATCCTTACTCTGGCATCATCATCATCATCATCATCATCATCGTTATTATGATGCTCTGGGGAATCCTGCTTGGTGCTAAGCTGGACAAGGAGGCCTCAGAGGGATCATTCAGCTCTGAAATTAGCTCCTGCTCCTGGTCCAGCTCCAGACAGGGCCCCCAGGGAGCCCCCATTGCTCTGTTTGACAGGAGCTTAAGGCACAGACTGTCTGTGAGCAGGGCTCTGCTATCTGTGGCTTTATGCAAGTGTCTGCAGCTTCCATTCCCTTTGGCCCAAGCTATCCTTCCCCAAACAGCTCTAAGTTAATGAAACCTAAGCCAAAGCCATCAGCAAACTGCCCTCTGGATTGGGTCCTTCCCTGGGGCTTTTTTTCTAAGGCCTGTCTGTGTCTCCCCAGACCACCTTCTCCTGGTTTGGAAGTTCTACAATGCCACACAAACACCAAGACTTATTGCTGCTGTTAACATTGGGTGTTGAGGGTAAATATTACAAAAATTGGAAGTAGGAGGGCATGGGTCTATTTGCCTCGCACGAGCCTGCAGGTGAGCCCAGGACACAAAGCCACAAGGGGGCTCTGAGCTGGTCCAAGTCTCACTTGGCAGATGAGGAAACTGAGGCAGTGAGGAGAAGCAGCTTGTTCTGGGGCAGGAACAGCTGAGCTGGCCGATTCCGGGTCTCCACATCCACCTCAGAACCTTAGTTTTTATATCTGTAAAACAGGCATCATAATAATAAATAACATTTAGCCCTGCATATATTAGCTCCTTTGGTCCTCACAGCAATGTTGGGAAGTGGATGCTATTCATATCCCCATTTTACAGATGAGGAAACTGAGACCGAGAGAGGGAAGTGGCTTTGCCCAAGGTCATGTAGCTAGTAAGTGTCTGAGACAAGATTTGAACTCAGGGCCTCCTGTGTCCAAGGCCAGTCCTCTTAGCCACCTAGAGGCCTAATAATAGTACTTGTGCTGTCCATCTCACAGGACCCTGGTCTGCTGTGTAAATATGAGCAGATAGCATCATGCATGGATCACCTGTTTGGGGGTAGTGGTCTAGTCCTTTGACCCTAGTCTAAAAGGACCAGCTGAGATCTCTTTCCTGAGGACCTATAGGCAGGATCAGAATCTAGGCCTAGATTTGGGGTGCTCACTGACCTCTTCTGCATTCTCTCCCTGAACAGAAAACGGAGGCGAAATCATACCAGTACGCTTCAAGAGTTAGCCATGCTACTGCCTATCCCCCTGCAGGCCAGCAGCAAAAAACTCACCAAGGTACAGGGGGAGGGTGGGCCAAGGGCTGTGGGAAAGCAGGTGAGACACAGGACAGGGAGCCAGGGGGCTTTAGGAGACAAACTGGCCAATGGATGATCCCTCAGAGAAGGTCCTAGGATTTCATAGCCCAAGGGGACCTGCCCCAGCTCCCATGGGGCCACATAGTGATTTGAACTCGGGCCCTTTGGCTCTAAATTCTGTATTCTTTGCATTTCGCCACTGTGCTGGTGACCATCTGTCAGCCCCTGAGGGTGGACAGCAGGGTGGAGAGAGAAGCGGGAGCCCCCACTGACATTTCTCCTGTGGGAGGCCTGGCTGCCTGGCCTCACTGGCTTTCTCCCCTCTCAGCAGAGATGGCTGATTGGGCATTCTCAGAGCCTGATGGTGTGGGGCCAAGTTAGCTAGAAGTGAGCCCTGCCCCACCCTGCTGAGCGTGGCAGGGGTCAGGAGTCTGAGGCTGGAGTTCTGGCTGGGCCGGGCCACCGCTTAGGTTGTTGCTTCCTCTCCGAGCCTCCAAATCCAAGACTGGTACCAAATGATCTTTGAGGTTCCTTCCAGCACTGAGTGTGCTCTGTGACAAGGTTGAAGAGGCCAAAGAAGAGAAAATGGACGAACCTGACAGCAATATTCCAGTGTGGGAATATTGGGTGAGCTGGCCCATGCAGGAGGAAGCACCATCATTCTGCTTCTTCACAGTTAGTCGTTGTACACCATTGCTATGACTGTGGACAACTGATTCTGATTCTGCTCGCTTCACTTTGCATCAGTTTGTAAAAGTCTTCCCATGTTTTTCTGAAAGCATCCTGCTCATCATTTCTTGGTGGGTACTGTTATGATCCTCATTTTTCATTTGAGGAAACTGAGGCAAACAGAGGTGAGATGACTTGCCCAGGGTCACGCAACTGCTAATCAGTATCCAAGGCTGGATTTGAACTGAAGTCTTCCTGCCTGCAGGCCTGGGGCTCTATCCATTGTGCCACCTGGCTGCCTCAGGCCTCTTTCATTGGGACTGCTGTCCAGTGATGCTTCCGCCATCTTGTACCCCGTAGTTTAGAAATTAATGGAAATTCCCCTTTAGGCAGAGACGAAGCTCAACGATACTGAGCTGCAGGGGCCCTGGCTAGTCCAGGCCTCTACTGGGTAAATACTGACTGACTGACTGACCCGAGTGAGGCGTTTCATGGGGAAGTTCTTTCTGATTCCCGATTTCACCCACACCCTCTGTTTCTTTTGGGCACAGAAGGAGATTCTCCTGCACGTTCTGCACTATATCAAACACCTCCAGCGAAGCATTGATGTGGCCAAGTCTCTTCTCTTATTCCAGCCGTCAGACAAAGAAGGTAACCCCTACGTAACTGGGGCCTGGGGAGGGGATTTTGAGGTGGGGTGCAGGTGGGGAGCAGAAGTCTCACACTGGACTGTGGGAGGCCTGGCCCGGGGAAGGCCTGGATGTGCAGTAGAGCCCAGGCTCAGCTGGGAGTTGGGAGCCTGAGACTGAGCTCCAGTCTGCCCTTCCCTTTCCTTTTGGGTGACTGAACAAGTTGCATCTTCTCCCTGGGCTTGTTTCATCTAAATGAGCAGAGACCCGGCTGCGTGAAAATCAGGTGAAGGAACAGGCTGCTGAGAGCTGGAGAGCAGGAGGGGGGGTGCGCCTTGGCTGTCTTCAGGTGTCTGAAGGGCTGGCGTTCCCAAGGATGAGACCAGTAGAGTTGGCATGTTTGGCAGAACTAGGAAGTCGCCGAGAGGAGAATTTTGGCTTAGTTTGAGTAAACACTTTTGCACAATTAATTAGAACTGTCCCTGACTGAAATGGGCTGCCGCCCATCACTGAAGGTCTTCAGACGGGTGCAGGGGATGCTTAGAGAGGATTCTCATTCAGGTTGGACTGCATGACCTCTGAGCTTCCTTCCAGCTCCAGCTGGCCACGAGTCTAGTCTTAGCTCATTAGGACTAGCTCTGTGCTTCTGGGCAAGTCCCTTTCACTTTCTGAGCCTTAGTTTTCTTAGCTGTGAAATGGGGATAATAACACCTGTACTACCAAATGAAAATTGTCTGCCACATCACACTGATAGCACATGTTAAGAGGTCCACCGTCCCCAGGGCTTTTTCATTCGAACTGCTTTCCAGGGGTATCTCCCTCATCCTGTGCCACACAGTTGATCATTTTCAGGGTAGGGGGCAGAATTCCTGTCTGGGGACTTTCAGGAAGATGAGACGAAGTTCCCAGGGAGGAAACTTGGCTCCTACTAGGTGAGTGGGGGAATGGATTTTCAAAGTACAAATGTAGGAAGAATTAAGAAGAGAAGAGACCCAGATCTGACCCATTTACATGTCCCCATATAGAGCTTGGTGGACGTGGGACTGGATGCAGGAAGCCTCCTACATCCCCAGGCAAAAACAAAATGAAAGAGTCAGCACCCCAGAGCTCCCCTCATGTCTGAAGAGCCTGGTTCCTGGGTATTTGCCATAAGCCTTGCAAGAAGAAACAAGTTGGAAAGTTAGCATAGGAGGGGGGAAGGAAGCACCCAGATGGCCCCTTCCACCTTATTGCAGTAGTTGAAAGCTTGGGCTGACTGGGGTGGTGAGGCCGGGCACACTGAGGAACAAGGACAGACCTCCTCTTGGCCGAGAGCCAGCCGGGTCCCTCAGGGCTGGCCCTCAGCCACCTGCCCTTTTTGCTTTGGGAGCAAACATCTGTAGAGATCCCATGGCTGCTCAGGAGAAATCCTTGCTATTTGTTGAAAAACTGACTACTCCTGGACCCCAGATTCCCACCCACTACTCCCTACTGCATACCCTGCCCTCTGGCCAAACTGGGCTGCTCAGGGCCTCCAGCTGTGCCATCCCTGGCATGCCCGCCCCCCCCCCCGCTTGTCTGATTGCTCTCGATCCTTCCAGTGCCCAGCTCAACTGGCACCACCTTTCTAAACTGTTACAGCAGGAAGAACATGGGGTTGGCAATCAGAGGATGCATCCTGGTTCTGCTGCTCATGCCCTTCGTGACCTTGGGCAAGTGTCTTTTTCCCTTGGCCTTGTGTTTTTTCCTTGTATAATGTGTGGGTTGGGCTAGATGGTCTCCAAGGCCTCTTCACCTGTAAATCCTACCATCCTCTCTGAAGATAGAAGATAGGCCATATTGGAAAGAATATTGATTGGCCTCCGGCCTGGGTCTGCCTCTTGGCTCAGAACATTAAGGAGCTAAGTGACATTGGGCTAATCCCTTAGTTTGTTGATCTAAACAGTTGGGGTGATAATACTAGTCCTGTGCCTTAAAGAATGGTTCTAAGGAAAGCGCTTCATAAATCTCATGTACTATGGACATGTGAACTGGTATTGTGAGGAAGGAGTCCATTCCTCCTGACCACAAGAGGAGAGAGAAAGCTGGAAGAGATCACTCAGTCCCTAGGCCCCATTTGATTCAGCACTTGCTTGTAACTGAGGGGGTTTGGTCAAAGCTGGGGATCACGCTGGGACAAACAGGGGACCCCTAGTACACTAGTGGGATCTTCTGGGCTGTGGGGGGTGTTTAGAAGACATGGACAGAAATTGCATGGGATGCCCCTGGGTGCAGGGGCTGCGATCTGTACCTGTGGAGGGTGCCTTCTCTTCAGTAAGGTCTCAGCCAGTGACATCTGGAAGCATCACTCCAGGAACAGAGTGCAGAACTGGGAGTCAGGTACCTGGGGTTTAGTTAGTGCCTCCTGTGGGCCAGTCTCTGTGCAAGACACCAGAGATACAAAGACAAAAAAGGAAACAGGGCTTGCCCACAAGGAACTTACATTCTTTTATTTATTTATTCATTTATTTATTTTTTAGGAGCTCACATTCTATCTCAACTCTTTACTTTCTCCCTCTGTGACCTTGGGCAAGTCCCTTAGCTTCTCTCGGCCTTGGTTTCTCCATCTATTAAATGAGTTCTAGATCATCTCTAAGCTCTTTGCCAGGCCAGGGGGAGAAAGGGGGTAGGCAGAGGAGGATACAGGAGGTAAGGAGCAGTCGTCAGTCTTTTTGTTTTCGTTTTGTTTTCTTTTTCACATTGGTAAACTTTAAAAATGATGACCATTTGTTTCATAGACTGATAAGTATTAGCTGTGGACGAGTGGAAAGCGCTGACTTGGCCCAACTCATTTTATGGGGGCCTCAGTGAGGAGGGGTGAGCAGAATCTGAGGCCCTGTGAAGAGCGAGACTTGCTCAAAGTCAAATAACTAGTTATTATCAGAAGCCAGGCCAACGCCCAGGTCTCTTGATATCTGGCCCAGGGCGCTTCCCCCTGAAGCACTTAATCTTGCTTTTTAAAAAAAAAAAAAGTTTTTACTGATATTTCTTGTTTCATAGTATCCCATGTATCTGTCCCCTTTCCCTTCCCTGAAAGCCAGCCCATATGGCAAATAATATTTTATTGGAGAGGGAAGAAAAAGTCTGCACAACTAGATACATTGAAAAAGTCTGAAAACGTGTTCAAATCTGTGGACCTCCCATCTCCATAAAGATTGAGGGTGTCTTCTCGGCTCTCTTCGTGCTAGTCGTACTTGATCTTTACAATTTTGTTACATTTGCTTTTGATTTTTTAGTGTGTGACCTTGTTATGGTCATTGTGTGTATTATTTTCTTGGCTCTGATTACTTCCTTCTACATCAGTTCACGTAGAGATTTCCAAGCTTCTCTGTACGCATCACACACATCATTTCTTTCTTTCTTTTTTTAATCACAGGCATTTTTATTAACAGACTATTAGAAAAATAATCATGGTAGAGACCTTTGGTTCATTCTCCTAATAAGCCTATTGATCTGGTTTTCCTGTTACCAGCATCTCCACCTTCCACAAAATGCTTTTTTTTTCCTTCATTTTGTCCTGTGGAAAAGATCATTTGAAGGGACACAGAAAGTTGTTGGCAGCTTTGAAGTGCTTGCCAATAGTGTAGATCTCATAGATCAAGTCCTCTGCAGATAATTCCATATTTACCAAGAGATTTTGCAATAATGGCATTACCAGGGCAATTCTCTGTTTCTTGATCTTGCCATAACCACATTTGTAAATCAAGTCATTCACAGACTTCATGTTTGGGTAACCCCATGCAATATATGGTTCCACAGTCCTCAGCATGTTAAATGAAGCTTTGCTAAGGTTAACAAAAGTGCCATTGAAGATTTGGCAAAGACGAAGAAACTACAATATTCTTTGGACCTTAGCCCAAAGGTCTATTGATATCTCTGATTTTGATCACAAAAGCTAACTTCAGTTCAGCAGGTACATAGTAGGTGCCAGCTTTGCATACCATTCTAGTCAGCCAGATTTTGCTTCTGTACATCTGTCCTTATGAGAGGCCTTAGCTTTTCCATAGATAACTTTTCTCCACATTTTACAGAGCTTTTTTATAGCCATCTTCTTCTTCAGGTGATTGGCCTTCAGTATCACAAAAGCCTTTTGTTTTTTCAGAAGGGATTCTGGAATGGACAGTTGCTTCTTCTTTTCTTCTGTGCCCTCCATGATTCCAACTGGAAAAAAGCTACACACATCATTTCTTCTAGCAGTCATATTCTATTGCATTAATGGACCACAACGTATTTAGTCATTCTTCAGTGGCTAAACTTTGGCTATCAACTTGGTTTCCAATTCTCAGCTATCCCAAAAAGTGTTGCTATCAATATTTTGGAGTACTTATGTGGGGACTTTCTTCTTCTCGATAGCTTCCTTGGAGTGTAAACCAATAATGGAGTCTTTGGTTCAAAGAGTATGGATATTTTAGTCACTTTCTTTGCATGATTCCAAATTGCCTTCCAAAACGGTTGTGCCATATCACAGCTTTATCAACTATGTTTTAGGGTACCTTTCTTCTCACACCCCCCCCAACATTAACTGTTGTCATTTTTGGTCATTTTTGCCAATTTGCAGCATGTGAGGTGAAACCTCAGAGTTGTTTTGATTTGTATTTCTCTCATTAGTGATTTTTTTCATGTGGTTGTGAATACTTTGCATTTCTTCTTTTGTGAACTGTTTGTTTATATCCTTTGACCATTTTTCTATTGGAGAATGGCCATTAGTCATTTATATATACATATACACGTGTGTATGCATGCTGGTGTGTATATTTATGTATGTATTAATTATTTATATATCTTGGATATTAAAGCCATATCAGAGAAATCTGATACAAAGATTTTTTTCCCATTTTACCACTTCCCTTCTTATGCTAGAGGCATTAATGTTGACTTTGCAGAAGCTTTTCAGTTTTGAGTAATCAAAGTTATCTGTTTTATCTTTTGGTTGCCTCTGTCTTCTGTTTGGTTAAGAATACATCTCCTACCTATAGCTGGGAGAGGTACGTGATCCATCTCTCTTCTAATTTTTTTATGGGATGGTCTTTAACATTAAGGTCATGTGTTCCTTAAGAATGCATTGTGGGGTGGGGTATAACAAGCCAGTCTAAACCTAGTTTCTGCCAAACTGCTTTCTCATTTTTCCAGCAGTTTTTATCCCTTGGTAACCTCTGTTTTCTACTTTATCAAACACTGGGTTATTGTGTTCTGTTGTTTCTGAATCCCCTTGTCTCATCTCTTCCATTGATCTATGATTTAGCCAATATCAGATGGTTTTGATGACTGCTGCTTTAGAATAGAGGCACTTAATCCTTCTATCCCACTTCAATTCATTTTTCACCCCAATGCCCAAATTGTTTTCCTAATGCACTGCTCTGATTCCAGCACTTGTTTGTTCAAAAATCTTCAGAAACCCCCTTCCTGGTGGATGAAGTCTAAACTTCATCCCTGACATTCGAGGCCCACCATCCTCGCCTCACTCCATTCTCGGTTCTGGCCAGGCTGGTCTGGTTTTTCCCCCGCTTCCTTGTCCTGTCTCCTAGCTGTGTCTTTGTTTATGCCATTCCTCACTTGGAAGAGATTCCCCTTTCCTACCTTTGCCTGTTTGAAGGCTCATCTCAGACCAGCATCTCTTCCTTTGAGCCTTTCCTGGCCCAGCTAGATGAAAGTGAGCTCCCTTCCTTCCCCACCCCTGCACCCCTTCCCATGGCACTTTACCTAACTTTCCCTTGTCCTCGTCACGTTCTACCTGTGTCCTGCAACCCCATTAGACTGTACATAGTATGAAGGCAGACTTTCTCTCTCTGCGCAGTGCCTTGTACAGTAACCAGGACTTGGTAACAACAGCAATGTTTATAGAGCGCTTGAAGGTTTGAAAAGCTCTTTACAAATATCAACTCATTTGATACTCAGAACAATCCTGGGAGGTAGGTGTTATTGTTATACCCATTTTACAGTAGAGGAAACTAAGGCAACTCTAGCCCTTAAGTAACTTGCCTAGGGCCACATAGCTGGTAAGCGCCTCATCGCTCTATCTACTGCATCACTTAGCTGCTTCTCAGAGGACACATACTGCCTTGAACCCAGAAGGGAGTGTTTTTGGTGTTGCCCGCTAAGGGGTCTAGCATTCCTCTCCAATTCCAGTCACTTTGGTTTCTCAGAACGAAGAGCAGGGGCCACAGATCCTCATCCATGCCTGGCCCTAGGCAGAGGCCCCTCCCAACCAGGGAGGCAGCCGGTGGACAAATTGAGCCCAAACAGAAGCAGAGGAGAAGCTACGGGGGAAGCCGCTCTCCCCAGGAGACTCCCCACCCCTTGCCGACAACTGGAGTCCTGGTTGCCCCCATCCCACAGAGGAGCTGGGCTCACACTTCTGGAGATGGCTGAAGGCGGGGTTCACCGCTGCGTAGCAAGTTGGTTCCTCAGCCCCACCCTCCACTCTGTTTCCCCTCATTCCGCTCTGAACCTTCAGCCCCTGGTACTAAGCCTATGGGGGAGGGAGGGTGGGGTTCAATCCTCAGGGGAGGCTTGAGATTCAGAGATCCTTGCTGGGAAGGGAGGGCTGACACCATAATGGTGGTGGGGTCTTCTTTCCTTTCCTGGCCCTGTCTGCAAAGGGAGCCAGGCAGAGCTGTTCCCTGCCTCTCCTGCACCAGCCTGTTGTGGAGGATCCAGTGCCCAGGAAGAGTGCCCCTGCCCCACCTGCGAGCCCCAAATGACAGCAGGTGGTGAGTGGCTGACACCTCACCCCTGGAGTGAGCCTCTGCCCAGGTAAGGCCCTCCCTGCTCTCACCTCCACCAAGAGCCCTGGCCTCGAAGTCCTCCAAACTAGAGGCCTGTCACTGGACCCTCGGAGCCCAGCTATGAGTCACCCTTAGAGTTGTGTGGGCGTCACGAATGCTTCCCAGCTCAGGGGCTCGTGGAATAGCAGAGGCAGAAGTCACCAAGTTGAGGATGGTAAAGGCAATAGGCCTTCCTCTGGGGACATGGCTGGCATCTTCCACCTCTCAAGTTCGTGATTCTTTGACCCCAGGAATTGTGTCGTCCAACGCCCTCATTTTACAGAGAAGTAAACTGAGGCCCAGGGTCGCAGAGCCACCTTGCAGGTGTAGGGATGTGAATTGTTACTGTTTTTTTCTACTCCTCGTGTTCCAATCTTTACCCTGGGGTTATTTGCTGGAGGGAGGAGAGCCAAGGAACTCCTGCTCATGATTCAGGTTGCTCAGGCTGCGGGGCAGTCAGGAACTCTGAGGAGGGGGCGTGCTAAAGGGGAACCTCCTGGTGGAAGGAGGCCTTGACTTTTACCTCCACGCCTTCATTCCCGTGGGCTCGATGGGCATGGAGCTTGGAGACTCGGAAAAGCCTCAGTGCATTTAGGGTTGGTGTTAGAGCGGAGGCTCCGACCCGACCAGGAGTCCCCTCAGCCTCTTCCCTGACAGATGGCACAGGAAGAAGAGCAAGCCCCTCCCACTGGCCAGCGGCTCCATGGAGCAGAAAGCTTTCCTCTCCGTCGGCCCCAAACGTGCCTTTTGTGCTTCCTCAGCCTGTCTCTGCAGCTCTGCCTGCTCTAGCCGAGCAGAAGGAGAATCCTCAGCCTTCCACCTGAGAGCCTGGAAGATGGGAACCATTCCTAGTGCTTGGATGGCGGGTGACCATCCTAGTCACCCTCTTCCAGATGCCCCAGCTTATCAGGGGCCTGCCCAGACCTAAAGAACAGAAGTGGCATGCTCAGGACAGAAGACAGAGCACTGATTAAGCACCTGCTGTGTGCTAAGCACTTTGATCCTCACAACAGCTCTGGGAGAGAGGGGTTATTATCATTCTCGTTTTATGGCTGGGAGAACTGAGACACACAGAGAGGTGAAGTGACTTGTCCAAGGTCACATAGCTATGAAGTGTCAGAGGCCAGATTTGAACTCTGGTCTTCCTGATTCCAGGCCCCAGTGCTCTGTGCCAAGCACTACCACCTACCTCGGCTAGAGGAAGAAGATTATACAATCAAATGACCATAGGAAAGGGCAGACTGATCGGTGCAAGAGACCAGCCAGTCTCAACGTCTTCGTCTGAGGGTGTCAGGGAAGGCTTCCAAAAGAGGCAGCATCCGGCGGGCGGCTCAGACGACCCGAAGGAGGCGAGGCGTGGTGCCACGAGAGGGGATGTTGCTGGGATCTGAATGACTGAAACCAAGGATCCCTCATTGGGAGGCTGAAATGCATGTCTGTGGGACATTTGGCTCCACATATCAGCCGAGAGGAACTGGGGGGGCCGGGCAAGCAAATATCCTCATGCAAAGAACTGGGGGTCTTGTGGGGTACAGTGCAGTCGCCAACGAAATCAATGCCGTTGTTTTTCCATTTTCCACTGGACTTGTGATTTTACTTCTGTGGGTAGGGAACTTCCGCAGCCAAGGTGGGTCAGCTCTGGCTCAGAATTATAGTCCTTGAGGGCGGAGGGAGAGCGTGGCATGATGGAGAGAGGGCTGGCCTGAGAGGCAGAAGACCTGGGGTCAAGTCTTCTTTCTGCCCCGCACTGGCTTCTTCACCCTGGGCAAGTCACTTCGCTTCCAGATGTCCCCATGCAGGTCTCTGAAGTACAGTCTTGGGCCCTCCTAGTAGGAGCCAAACGTCCAGGCTGTGGAGAAGGATGGCCCTGCAGGCCTCTGCTTCGTCAGGTCACTTCTGGGCGCCCCATTTCAGGAAGGCCAGTGACAATTATGACAATAACAAATAGGGACAGAGCTCCAAGGAAGGCGGCTGGCACGGCCAGCCATTTAAGGGTCTCCGGAAGGATCATGGGAGGCTCATCCTTGGAGGGACGTGAGAATTGCCACCTCGGATCTGAAGGGCAGTCACGTGAAAGATTAAACTCGTTCTGCCAGGCCTCAGAGTCCAGAGCCTGGACCACAGAGGAGGAGGAACAGGGAGAGGGAGGGTGATCGTGGCGGCCCCCTTGGGGGAGCAGGTGACTCCTGAGGCCTCTCGGGGCTCCCGTCAGGCCTGCCCTCTGCCTTCACCTCCAGCTCACCCTCCACATGCATGGTCGTTTGCATGTCGTGGTCTCCTCCTTAGACCACAAGCTCCCTGAGGGCAGGGAAGGGTTCTGCCTTTCTTTGTATCCCCAGCCCTTAGCACAGTCCTGGCACAGGGTAGGCTCTTATTGAATGCCTGGCTGGCATTCTGTGGTTGTGAGCCAATGGGCTCAGCTGGTCTGGAGATGAGTGAGAGGCAGACAAAGAGGGGGGATGGAGCCAGACCACCTAGGGCTCCCAGTGGGAAGGCAGAGGCATCTTGCCTTCACGCAGGGGATGGGCAGGCACTGCGGCTGCATTCCCCTCCTGGAGCAAGGTCCCCTGGAGGCTGTGGGCCTGGAACTGTGATGGCATGTCCCTAGATAGGCCAGAACTGGCTGGGGCTGGGGGCTGTTCCTTGGGGTCCTTTCTAGTTCTGTGTGAACTCTGTACCTTGGTCTCCTCTGTGAGGTGAAGGGCTGGATTAAAAGGCTCTCTCAAATCTCTGATTCTTCTTGCACCCCACTGTCTTGCAGGCAGGAGCTGGTGTTCTATGACTCCTGCAAGGAGGAGGAAGAGGAGGAGGCAGTGGACACAGGGCCTTGGCTCTCAGCCGGGCCCCCCGACAGCAGCCCCCATGGTGAGCGGGGCGGGTGGATGCAGCCTCTCTGGCTTCCCTTCTGTCTGAGCCCGGGCCCCAGAGCTTGGGAGAAGCTGTGGTTTGGGCTGAGACCATACAGCCCAGCCAAGCCAAGACGGCGAAGACCTGGGCAGACTGTGCTTTGGAGCCTCGACCCAGCCCCTGGTGGGACAGAATCTGAAATGGCCCAGACTGAGTTTCTAAGCTGGAGATCCAGAGGATCCTGAGAGATGGTGAGGCATCCTTGCTGGAAGGGGCCTTGGCACATATGTGGAAGATGTGGGATGGTGGAACCTTAGGAAACTACCTCGTCTAACCCCATCGCCATACAAACAGGGAAACTGAGGCCTGGAGAGGGAGTCAGCTGCCGAGCCCCAGCCTTGTTCATGGTTGGGTGCACTGCCTAAGCCTTTCTTGGAGCTCAGAGGCAGCCTGCTTCCCAGAGTCCTTACTGCGCTCCTGGATAGGAGGGAGAGTCTCTTCTGGGTCCCTGTCGTCCTTATCTGGGTTCCGTCCAACTTGGGGCCTGTTGATGGAGGAGTAGCTTGTGTAGCTCAGGCTCGCCTGTCTGGTTTCCAGGGAGCCCTGTGGTGGATTCTCTCAGGACCAGGAGCTGGCCTGGAGTTGGCCAGCCCTGCGAGGAGCTTGGCCTGAGCCCCTCACTCTTTACCTCTCCGGGGCGACTGCTGCTTGAGAGGAGTCTTCAGGAAGGCACAGAGAGCTTCACCCAAGGTGACATCACAGCACCGACATGCCACGGGGTGGGGGCTGGGAGACCTTCGGAGGGGGGCCTCCTCACCCCTCTGTCTCCTGTACTCACAGATCTCTTTGAAGATGTCTGCCTGAGTCCTGAGTCCTCTTTCTCCTCTGCCAGCCTGGCTGGGGCTCCACAGAAGAAGGTAGCTGGCTTTGAAGCCTCTCCTTGCTCCATCCCCATCCCTTTCTGGTAAAAAGAAGCCCCAGCCCCACCTTTATGCCTCAGGGAGAGGCTGGAGCCCCGAGGTATTGGAAAGGAGGACAGAGACAGGCAGAGACAGAGACAGGTGTTGGGGAGTCGCTGGGCTGAGTTGGCAGCTTCTCTGTTGGGGCAGGATGCCTGGAAGCCAAGGGGCCTCAGAAGGAGTGAGCCACAGGAGAGGTCCCAGAGTGGGGCGGGAGGCTGCTGCAGAGGCAGGAGGCCCATAGCTTAAAGCGGGCCTGGCCAGAGTTGTCATGCCATTCCTTGTCTTCCGCCCAGCCCCAGGACCCAGCCCCATCAGCCCCTGGAGGCCCTCTTCGCTCCCTCAACCTCTTCCAGTCAGCATTCTCTCTAGACCACTGTTACCTCTCGCTGAGTAAGACCAGCAAGACTGACTCCGGCCCCAGCTCAGGGGTGACAGAACTGGTGTCCTGGTGGAACAGATGGCAGAAGGTGAGATCGTGTCTTCTGCCTTGGTCAGAGGCCAGCTGGCCCCAAAGCTGTGGCACTTCAGAGAGGGGCTGGCCGCCCGGAGCTGGCCAGAGGTGGGTGGCAAGGGGCTGGAAAAGGGATGACCTAGCAGAGAGGAGGAGCTGTCCTGAAATCTGCGTGAGAGGGATGAGTGCGTATAGCACCTGCTCTGTGCCAGGCACGGGGAGGGAAGGAGAGAGGTGCTGTTATCATCCCCATTTTACAGATGAGGAAACTGGGCTGCTTGGCCTCAGAGTTGTCTCAGCGAGAACTTGGTTACAGTCACAGAACAGAAAGAACTCTGGAGAGCATCTCTTCCAGTAACCCAGTTTTTCAGAGGAGGAAACTGAGGCTCAGAGAGGGGCTGGGACTTAGCTTGGGCCACACAGCTAGTAAGCAGCTGAGCTAGTGCTTGAACCGAGGCCTCCCAACTCCCAGTCCAGTGACCCTTCCACACCTTGGCAAGTTCCAAGCAGAGATTTCTGCACTGCGCAGGAGGCTGGGTGAAATGACCTTGGAGTCATCTGCCTCCCAGGACTGAGATGCTCTGAAAAAGGTAGGCCGGGGTGAAGACTAAGCCCTCTCCTCCCTGCCCCAGGCCTCCCAGCCCACCCCAGACAGCTTCCTGTCCTCTAGCGATGAGGATGACGACTGTACCTGGACCCCCACCAAGTGTGCCTCTCCTCTGCCCTCCTCTGGGAGGAAGCGGAGGAGAAGCCGGGCAGGGCCCAGTGGCAGCGGCCTTGGCAGACACGAGGAGAGCAAGAAGGCGCCCTGTCCTTTCCCACTGAAGAAGAAATGTGTCAACGGCTTCATCATGTTCTGTCGCCTCAACCGTGGACAGTACATTCGGTGGGTTTGCAGCCCAGCCTCACGCTGGCTTTTCTGAGTCTCACGTGGCCCCTTCCCTGCGCCCTCCATCACAGCCTGCACTAGGCCAACCTGCCCCTCCCGCCCGTCTAAGCCTGGTGCCCGTCAGGGGAGGCAGGCCTTCCTGGGCTGTGTCCTCGTCTCGAATTCTTTAACTAACCTGGTCAGGAGGTGAATTACTGGTGGACAACAGCTCCCAGCTTTCCTTCTCTAGGGGAATGTTTGTGTATCACTAGTAGCCCTAACTCTGTGGAAGGACTAAAGGTAAGACTTCAGGCCTGGGGGTGAGGGAAGCTTTTTGGGCCACGTGGGAAGGAGGGGTGGGGGTTAGGGTGTAACCCCCGCCTCCCCCAAGCCCCATATTGAGTTCATCCCTTAACAAAATTCTTCTTTGCTTCCTTCTCTGGATTCTTGGTGGTAGAGAGGATATTGGAGAAGATCCTGACCATTTATAGACTCAGAACAAGGAAGACCCTTTAGATCATTTAAACCAAGAACGTCAGAGCTGGGAGAGTCCTTAGAACTGAGAATGTCAGGGCTGGGAGAGGTCTTAGAACAGGGAATGTCAGGGCTGGGAGGGGCCTTTAGAACAGGGGATGTCAGGGCTGGGAGGGGCCTTAAAACAGAATATCAGGCTGGGATGGCCCTTAGAACCAAGAATGTCGGGGTGGGAGAGGCCTTAGAACAGGGGATGTCAGGCTGGGAGGGCCCTTAGAACAGGGATTGTCAGGCTGGGAGGGCCCTTAGAACAGGGAATGTCAGGCTGGGAGGGCCCTTAGAACCGAGAATGTCACGCTGGGAGAGGTCTTACAACAGGGAATGTCAGAGTTAGGGACACAGGGCCTTAGAACAGGGAATGAGTGTGAAAATGGCCCCCCAAAGGGGAAGGGGTCTTACCCAAGTCCACCAGAGCGGAACTAGCCCCCTGGTCCTGAGGCTCCCCGGGCCAGGCTCTTCCCGCCCCCCCCCAGGGTTTCCTCACCCCATCCTCCCCTTCCTCTCAGAACCTACCCTGGCATGCCATCCACCGCGGCTACCCAGGCGCTAGCAGGCCTGTGGCGGGTCATGACCAAGCAGGAGAAGAGGCCGTACTGGTAAGAGGGTGGGTAGGGGAGGCTGTGGCAGAAGAAGCCACTCCATGGGACTGTTAGTCACCCAACTAAAGGACTCAATATTGGCCCTTCCCGCCAAGTCCTGAAGGAGTGACCTGCCCAAGGTCATAGTGATAGGCAGAGGTTATGGGAGAAGTCCCCTGAGAGATCAGCCGGGCCTTGCACTGGGGGATGAAAGATCCAGGGGCCCCGTTCCCAGCCTTGGCTAAACTGCCCTGCTGCCTCTCACACCCGAGGCTCAGGGGGTGGGGGCAGCATGTGTGAGCGCCCCTCGGTGATCCCCTCCCCTAGCATCAAGGCCCGCAAGTTCAGCCGCCAGCACAACCGCATCATCAGGCAGGACTGTTCCAGCGAGGAGGATGACTGCTTATCCCCCAAGCCCTTCCACCTGCTCCTGGCCGAGAAGGCCCTGAGCTCCCCAGACCTGGCGTGCACAAGCTCCTCTCTGGAGGGCCCCCTTGCTGACAGCCCAGCATCTCCGTGAAGCAGGGGCTGCCCCCTTCTCTGATCCCCGGGTGGCCAGTGGGGGAGGGGCCGTGAAACTCCGCCCCCCACAAGAGCTGACCCGGGGAAGAGGGGCCTGGCCCCCACCAGCCTGTCCGCTGGGAATTTGTTGGCCTCTGAGCACATATGTGCAGGGGCTAATAGGCTAGTCAGCACCCCTATTTATCCTGTAGGAAGTGGGGTACATGGGGAGACCCCGGGCATGAGGGCAACAAACTCAGGCTCCCACTTTCCTCAGCTTTGGGTCAGGATCAAATACTTGAAACCCAATTGTCCTCTCACTCCACCCCCCCCCTCCAACTCTGTTATATTTATAGATTATTTATTGTTCTAAAAATAAAATCACACTTGTTCTTGGACTTTCCCTGCAGAATGCTGGGTTGTAATACTGTCCTGGCATGGAAACAGGACCTGCCCCTGATCCTAGGACACGTACAGGGACTATGGTGGGGGGGGGGAGGGGAGCAAACGGTTTCTGGCCTCTCTAAACCACCCCCCTTCCCCAGCAGCCTCGCTTGGTGGTCAGACCACAAACCCCACATTCCTTCCCTCACAGGAAGAAGCAAAAGCTCAGTTGGGGTTGAGAAAGGGCATCGGGAGGGTGCTGACTTGCCCCCACATCCCCAGGATCAGAGACCCCCCCTGCATTTCTGGGTCTGGTTTATTGAAATTGAGGCAGTAACATGTCCTAGAAAAATATAAAGATTTGGGAAGGTACAAACCAAGGTCAGGAAGGTCACCCCCTCTCGGGAGGAAGGATCTTTGGTCTGGGGTTAAGGAGGGATTGTGGGGCCCTCACTGCCACCACCCAGACACTGTCGGCTACTTGGGAGACGTGTGCACGTAGTGGTGGGGCCCTGGGCCATCACACACCCCCACACCCCCGTCTGGGACCTCTGAGATTAACAGCCATTTGCAGGTCAGGGCAGGGTGCTCGGGAGGGGTGGGCCCAAGGGCCATAGTGTTTTTCCACAGACAATTCATAGCCAGTACCGGATTTGACAGGGATGGGGGTGTGGCCACCCCTCAGTCCCCCCAGGAATGGCTCCAGGCAGGCGGGGGCTGTAACAAGCTGAAGCCTCCACTCCCAGGGGAACTGAGGGTCCCCCAGAAGGAGAGGGGCCTAGGGGGGCCTCCGACCCCAAGGGGTGGGGTGAATTAGTGTTATGATTGGGAAGACAGTAGCATTTGTGGTAGGCACAGGACCCCCAACTCGTTCCCCTTTGGCCCCGTGAAGAAGGACGGACGCTGCAGTCTCCAGAGCACCTCATTTGGGGAGTGAAGTAAGGGAGAAGAGCACAGAGGTCTAGGTCCGGTCACAGCTCCAGGGGCTCCTCCACAGGTACTGACTGCAGCTGGGTCAAGACCTTGTCCTCAGGCTCCAGCTCATCGCCCTCCTCAGCCCCCGTGCCCCCCAGCAGAAGGCCGTCTCCATCAGGCAGCCTCAGGAGGGCGTGCGGGGCAGCCGTTCCTAGCCCTTTCTCCATCTCAAAGAGCCCCTCAGTTCCCACCCCCAACTCCAGCCCCCCGGGCCAAGAAGGGACAGCGGGGATGGGGACGCTGGTCAGGAGGCCAGAGGAGTCCGGGGAGAAGGCCGGGCCGGCTGCCACCGGGGCCACAGGCACCTGGGGCTGGGCCGAGAAAGGGGGGAGGGCTGGGCCAGGGGCCACCGTGGCCAGGACGGGTCCCTCAGGCACAGGAGCCGGCGCTTCCTGTTTGACGGGCAGCGCCAGGCTGGCGGCAGTGGGTGGCAGGGTCTGGGAGACCAGCATGCTGGCTGGGAAGGTGGCAGTCAGGATGATCTTGCCCTGCTGAAGTGTCATCCCCGTCACAATAGGGCTGCTGGAAACCGGGTTTGCCAAGAGGAAGTTACCTGTCAGGGAAGGGGGGAGGGGATGAGATGGTGGCCCGGGCCTGCCGCCCATCTGGCCAACCTCTTCCACTCTGAGCCCACGTCCTCCTCTGCTAGCAGGGATCACTCCTGCCTTCATGGGGCTATGGTGACATAAACCCCTTCATCTGACAGGAGAAAATGAGGCCCAGGCCTTCCTCCAGGTCACATCATATCAGACTGCCCTGACAGTCCCAAACCAGGGCCCCTAACTCCCAGGCCAAGAATTAGGAGATGAGAAAGAGAGAGGGAAAACAGGAAGATTGTGCAGTTTATGCCTCAGAGCTAGAAGGAGCTTTGTCAAGATCACTGAATCCAATTCATGATACCAAAGGAAAGAGGGAAGGCCCAGAGGGGAAAAGACCTTGGCTATGGTCACATGGGGGGAGGGGGCAGGGTAGGATTCAGGGCTGGGTTCACTGAATCGGGAGAGAGGAGGGCAGCGGTGAAGAGAGGTAAGAGGGTGAACAAGCCACGCCCTCCCAGGTTCCCTTGTCTTCCCCTCACCCTCCTCCTCACATCACAGGTTTGGAACGGGGAAGGGCCCTAGAAATCATTTAGTTTGGAAAAGGCAAAGTGGCCCAGAGAGGAAAGTGGACTTTCCCCAGTTCACACAGGCAGGAAAATAGCAAAGGGGGGATTCCGGCACAGGGGCTATGCGTGCTCCCACCCTGAGAAGCCTGAGGAAGGGGAAAAGAGGTTTACCTGGGGTGCCCGTGGGTAACTGCAAAGCTGTGACCCCCATTCCTGGGTTGATGAGGTGAACATTGGCCTGGCCCAGGGTGGCTCCTGTTGCTGCTGCCACCTTGACAGGGCTAGCAGGCCCAGCCAACAGCTGTAGGGACCCCACGCCTTGGGGCAGGGTCACCACCTGGGATGTGGGCACCACTTGGGGAAGGGAGACCAGGGGTGAGGCCCCAGGGTACACAGGGCCTGATGGAGATAGGGGGACCACCTGGGGGGCTGGCACGGGAGCTACCGGACCTGGGGGTGACAGCGGTACCACCTGAGGCCCCGGCCCAGCAGGCGTCACCACTGCAGGAGGAGGGAAGGCCGCCGCTGGCTGGGGGCCTGGGACCACTTGGGAGAGGGACAGCCCCTGCAGTGCCGTGGCTTCCTCCCCAGCCGCCTGGTTCCCTTTGGAGCCCCCGTCTTCAGGCTGGGCATCTTCAGCCTTCAGGTCTCCAGGCTGGGGAACCTGGAGCAGCGAGGGGAGCTGAGCCTGGGCCTGTGGGCTGGAGGGTGGTGGGCCCCCTCCTCCAGCAGCCCCAGTGAGCAAGAGCGGGGCCAGGCCTGGGGCCTCCCCCAGGGCCAGCCCATTAATGATAAGAGAGCCTCCGTTCAGCAGCACAGCCGGGGAGCTAGCCGTGGTCAAGAAGCCCCCGTTGAGCAGGATAGATGGGGCATTCGGGGGTCCCGATGGAGCTGCTGCCCCAGCCAGGAACACAGAACCCGGAGCTGGCACATCTGTGCTCCCCGGGGCCGCTCCCGCTCCAGTGTCCACATCCTCAGCTCCATGACTGGACTCATCTTCTGTGCTGGGGTTCCCATCTGACTCACTGGCAAGAGAAAAGAGAGGCAGAAAGCTGAGTTTTCTAGGCGGCCCAGAAGGTCTTTGTCCCGAGGTCCCTAAAGGCTTAAGGGGGGGGGGAGGAGCTGGGAGGAGCAAGAGGTTCTCCCTCCCTGCATCTGAGATGCCTCGAGTGTAACATGGTGGTGAGGTGGGGACACACCCCTGGGCCCTGTACCCGGGGTGACTGGATCCCGATGGCAGCACGGCTGGGGAGTTCCACGTGGACTTGGGGTGGGAGGGGAGCTCCTCGAAGGAGGGGTCACATTTCACAACAAAACAGGAGGCCCAAGCATGCCGCCTCTGGCCAGCCCTGCCCCCTCCTCCCTCGATCCCTCCCCCTGTCGGCAGGGCAGCGAGGGGGCCGCTGATGTCCGGGGTCACAGGGAGGACCGCCGGAGGGGGTGTGCCCAGCCTTCCCCCTCTCCGAGGGGCAGGGAAGAGACCCCGAAGAGTGGGGGTTCTGTAAGGCAGAGTGGGGAGCGGGGACCCGCATCAGTCTGGACCGCCGGAGGGGGCGTGCCCAGCCCTCCCCCGGGGGGGGGTCTCACCTCCTGCTGGGCGCCCCCGCCGCGGCCGCAGCTGCAGCCCCGCTGCCGCCCGAGCCCAAGCCCAGGCCGCCCGTCCGGTCGCGCTGCCGTCGGTTCTTGAACCAGTTGCTGACCTGCGTGAGCGAGAGGCCGGTGAGCGCGGCGAGGCGGCGCTTCTCGTCGGGCGCGGGGTAGCGGTTGCCGCGGTAGCAGGCCTTGAGCGCGGCCCGCGAGCGCTCCTTGAAGCAGTACACCGTCTCCTCGCCGTCCCAGATGGTCTTGGGCAGCGGGAACTTCTTGCGCAGCCGGTACTTGTCCACGGCGCCCAGCGCGCGGCCCCGGGCGCGCTCGGCCTCGCGGTAGCGGGCGCGCAGGTAGAGGTCCTGCAGGAAGGCGTGGTGCGCCGCGGGGAAGGGCCGGCTCTCCAGCAGCCGGTACAGCTCGGCGAAGTCCCCGCGCTGGAAGGCCACGAGCGCCCGGGCGCGCAGCAGGGCGTCGCTGCCGCCACGTAGGCGCTCGGCGGGCGGCAGCGCGCCCAGGAAGCGGCCCAGGCGGCCCGCGTGGCCCGCCTGCAGCAGGGCCTCGCACACGCACGACACCTGCTCGGCCGACACCCCGAGCCCGCCCCCGCCCGCGGCCGCGCCCTGGGCGCCGTGGACAAGTACCGGCTGCGCA